GGCCAATGAGATTACTGCGACTAGAGCCAACTCCGGTAAATTATAAGCGCCACCTTCTCGCACAAATGTAGTCCTTTAAAATGAAACGCAGAGACACTTTCCAATAATCCCACCCCCTGCCATTGGGTTTGCGATGGCTGCCCATGAAAGGAGTGTAACCTAAGGTCACCACGAGTAGGTACGGCACAGGGGGGGTGGGTTGCTGGCTCTCTGAGTCATCGTGTCACCGTGCCACTGTCCCGTGTTTACTCAAGCCCACACTTCTCTCGCTTCTCTCCATTACCCCGCGGTGCTATACGTGACAACACGCACCACGATGACTCACTGCACCGAGTGACCCAGCACGCTCAAGCCAAGAGCGACGCCTGATTTGACAGCTCAGTTATTTTTAAGCCCCCTGCCGTCGTCACCACTTGCTTTCAAAATTTTCCACTCTCCCAGCACTTGAAACGATAACTATTAACAGGTGTCTCGTGAAAATAGAAATCAGCTTGCTGGCACAAGTATCCTTCCAAGCGAAGATGATGATTACGCTTTGTTACAGGATAAAATGATTGCAAATTGTATCCTGCAAACTGCGAGCGGTACCGCTCGACTATGAATGCGGTGCCTTGCTATTAGCAGTTACAACAGCTGCATGCAATCCACGTAGTTATGTTTTCTACATGTTAACACACCTTGCTTGGTTTAAAATAAAACTAGCCACGTGCACACGAAACTCTATACATCAACGGCTACTTATTTATTTCATAAAATGTCATGCCAGTTATGGTGATTGTAAAAAAAAACATTTGAATATATTAATAGGAAACTCATGTGTGCAATAGGCACTAGGCTACACCAAATATTGATAATGACTTTGGCCTTAAAATGTAGTGATAACAGTGGTGGTACAACCCTAGCACCTCCTGTTCGCGCGTCATTGATGGTGGAAGGGTCTCCTTTAGAGGGGGTTCTGGAGAGCCCCTCGAGAGGGAATTTTCGACCCATTCTCCCACACTGGCCAGACATTCGAATAGGTGAGAGTACTCATACTTTACACCACCACATCGCATTCGGACTGTGGTGTATCCATTTATGCTGTTGAGTGGACAGAGATTGGCGGGGGGGGGGAGGTGTGGATTTAGAAAAGTTGCGCATTGGGGATTATCTGAAACTGGCTTGTGAAATTTGACTTAATGTGCAATATATATTATACGTTTAAATGAAGCAAAAAAATATCTATTGGCTTCATGTTGGCCCTGGACCGGCTTCCTGTTTTGACTGCGGGGAGTCTAGGAGGCAGGAAAGAGAGTGGCGTGTGCTGCTGCTGCTGCCGCTGCTGCTGCCGAGGGCAGACTTGAGTCTCCGAGTGCGCGCAGGAAGATGGTCCGTGGGAAACTCGGACGGCCCGCGGAGGTTCTCAGCCACCGCACCACGCCTCTCCCTGTCTGCCTCGCTTTCCTATTTACCCCTCTGCCTCTCTGTGAACCGCCGTGAAAAGCAGGCCATAATAGCTCACTGCACACGCGCGCACGCACGCACGCGTATACACGTGGCGTGTACTTTTCGCCGTGCATACAAGCTGGCCTCATGCCCTTTTACATTGCTCCCATGTTCCCAGGATTGTTAGCAAAAACGGCAAGCGGCCCGATGGGTTGACAGAAAACAGGAAAGCCTTCCCAACTGCAAACAGGCACGCGAGGGCCATTTCTTTTTATTTTGGCGAGAAAGGCCATTGAGCCATATAGACATCGACATGCAAATTAAAATCATGATCTTTAGACAATGGAGTGTCATGGAGGCAAAGCAAGCCAATCACTGTGCAAGCGTTACCAGCCTGTTTTACGCACTTATGTGGACACTGGCGCAATATTGAGGACCTTAAAAAAGTGTGCCACACAGGGCGTTTTAAGTGAGCATCGATTCGCACGCGCCTCCGATTGGCACGGTTGGCTATGTACGGTGCGAAAGAAGTTCAACGTATATTTACATGCAAGTTGATCTTGTTAATATTAGCAACCACAAACGTTGATTCACACACGGGAGCGGGGGTGGAGGTGCAGTAAGTGTTATTGTGAATCAAAGCCGGTTTATATTTTTCTTCCATATAGCATATAAGAGCAGAGGTGAAATATATAGGGTCATTCAATATGGCTTTTGTGAGGATCGGTGAGTTTCTGTCTAGACAGGAAATGGAGGTAGTGGGCACAACGTTTTAAGTGTCGCACACAGGTGGACAACAGAACCCAGTAGTTTTTTTAACGAAGCATTTTACTTGGCCCAGTTTTTACTCGTATTTTAGCAAATGCTTATCTCATCATCCTGAAATGACCCATCGTATTTTACTACATAAGGATGTGTACGGCTAAGTGATGCACGCTTTACATTTATACCGTAAACACATTTTTAAGTAACAGTGCAAGGAATGTTTGTAAATAATCAAGTAGCCATATTTGTACTCTTTGGTTATTTCGGTAAAGTCACGTATGTAGAAAAAATAATAGATCGTAACATTACGATCGCAACGCAAGCAATCGTCATCAGGTGGGGCAACCACAGCAAGAACAAACTGCAGTTAGTGTTATTGTGAAAAAAAACTGCAGTTTTTTTCTTGCTGTGGTTGTCCCACCTGATGACGATTGCTTGTGTTGCGATCGAAACGTCGCGATCTATTATTTTCTACATACGTGACTTTACCGAAAGAACCAAAGAGTATGGATTCCTGCAGTCACGAAAGCTTAAAATCAAGATATTAGCCATATTTGATTTCAACAACAAAACATTTTTTGTCTATGTTTTGCACATTTGAGGACACTGACCTTACTTAAGTATCTTGATTTGAAGTTTTCGTGACTGCAGGAATCCATACTCTTTAGTTCTTTCGGTAAAGTCACGTGGTAGGTAGAAAACATAAATAATAAATTACGACGTTTCGATCGCAACACAAGCAATCGTCAACAGGTAGAAAGATACAGCCATAGAACTGCTGAACAACCTTGTTCTACGGCTGTATCTTTCTACCTGATGACGATTGCTTGTGTTGCGATCGAAATTACGTAATTTATTATAAAAAAAAATCTTACTTCAAATACTTACCATTGTTTAATGGCCTCACACGTTCACACTTTTATCATCGTACCACAATAAATATTAACGTCATATTGCAGAATGCTCTCCAGCATGCACCGATTGTAAACGAAGCTTCATGGAACCGAGCAAAACCTGCGCTCAAATTTGGATTACCCTATTTAATTTCCTGCGAAGGCGATGTTACATTTACGCAATGAGACATATAAAGGTAGATTTCACTTTAAGCATATTTTACCGAGGAACAGATACAACTGGCTTCTTTCCAAAATTTTCTGCTCGTTAAAAAAACTGTATTAATAATAAACAATGATTTACGGATGACAAAAAAGTTTAATTTGGTTTCTGTGGATGCGTTTCCCAGTAATCGCGCTTAATTTTTCTTCTTTATGCCCTGGTCGCGTGACTGTTTGATGTTTGTGCAAATAGCAGCAGCTGTGCACCAAGCTCATTTAAAGCCATTAATGGGATCTCATGCGGTTATTCTTCACTTTACTGCTGCTTACAAAGACATTATGTGGCTCTCACATTTGTGTTCTGGTTGAGAAAATGAAAACAGATTTTACAATATTTAATCTCTTGAAAGATTTTTTTGTTACAGAATGCCACTTAGCTTTGGGCGGAAGATTAATCTTTATACGCGACTAAAGTTTACTGCAAAGGGGTTTTTTTATGGCTGTGGTGTACCGAATAGCGCTCCCACGTGTCTTCGGGTTACACCGCGTGTTGCTCGGCATGATGCCCAACGTTTCGCTCCATGTGTTGGGGGCTTCTTCAGGAACGGAATTTATTTCCTTAAAAAAAAGCTCTCAGCAGCATGTGGAGCGAAACGTCAAACGATACCGAACACAGTACAATTCAAAAACACATTGGAGAAATATATCTAAAGTTTTACATTAAAGTACTGTGTAATGTGTGTACAGGTATATGTAAAATTTGTTTAATTTAGCACCTACCGAGACATGCGTCACTAGATATGTGCGTGAATATTCTTTGCAGGGTATTCAGTTATTCGGATTGCATAATGTACTGTATATGATGTGCAATATTTGGCATAGATTTAACATACATATGTGGGAAAGGGATAAGTACTGTACACGTCATTATCTTGGGATTTGGCAGGCTTTTTTGTACTGTATATGAATGATGCTATATATGTAAAAAAAAACAAGAGGTATATTTCCCAGGTTCATGAAGAGTTCCACAAGCATTCACTTAAAACTATAATTATTCACCAAATAATATTTTCTCCAACTGCTGAAAAGCAGCAAAGTACGGTAATAGCGTCAGTAAAGAACAAGCATGCATTTTTTTGGCCTAATTTTATTTCTCTACAGCCCATTCTGTACTCTCTCCAACCCATCAGATGTTAACGCTTATTTGCCGGTACCTCTCTCAGCCCCGTGCTCTCTTGGGAAAAGGCTGCCTTTCACAACACATTTCCAACTTAAACTTTAATAAAACTATTATTCTAAGCTAGATTACACATAGAATCCCGATTGTATTTTGAGGCAATTATCCATCTCTAGTGAAATCTCTGCAGCGTCTTTGCTTGTACACTAATCGCATTTCGACCTCGCTTTTCGTGCCATTGTTATGATGGGTGTTGGCTTATTTCAATGTCGGGCGCCTGCTCTCGTTTCCAGAAATCCCCAGGTGTTCCAATGATTTTCCGATTATTCCCACCAAGAGCCAGCCAAGTCACGGCTTCTGTGTTTCTAGCTTTTGTCAAAATTTCCTCGTGCACACCACAGTTGCCCTTTCATCGTCCAAACGTAACCTTCTCAGTAGCCTTAATCTTTTTCCTAAATTGTATTCAATGGTCTGAATGCAAGACAATTGTCCCCAGAGCGATGTGAATCAGGCATTTTCTGGTCACTCAGGAATAGATCAATGGGGCTGTAACGGAGAGGAAGCGTTTAACCAATGGACGGAAGCTTGACAATATGCTTTATTTTCATACAGACACAACGAAAGCAATTCGGTGAGAGAATAATTTATAATGGTATTCTGCAATTGTATTTCGCACCTCTCTTTCGACTCGTGTTTGACATGTAAGGATCCCGAAAACAGTAATTGCAATTAAGCAAGTTGCTGCTCATCTGTTCATACCAAATAAAGTTGCCGTTCGATAATCTGTCCTGTTCTATTGAAGACATTGACGAAAAGGCCTCTCCCTAAAACATTAAAGGTAGTCATATTTTTAAGGATTAATTATGGAACGTGTCAGAGAGGGCATCCACTGCGGCGTTGAAGCGATGGATTCAGCTCTTGTGCAGTTGTGAGGCTGTTTGGCTACATCACATCATCGCGAGGGATGGCGGCGGTTTTGGGCGGCCTTCATCCAGCAGTAGATTGACCCATGACCGATGATGAGGATAAAACGAGTATTTTATAACATAATAATAATAATCTTATAACGAATAAAACCACGTAATGTCTGCAGACGGCTGTTGCCACATTTCTCTGCTCACATCAACAGGGCAGGGTTTCTTCTGTAGCAATGATAACACGTGCTCGTTGGATATTGAGAACGCTTGCAGTATCGACATTATTGAAATAAGGAAGAATCGACCTGCCACTGAGTGAGGAACAGCAAGCAGTACAAGCATACAAGTTGAGACTTCTTCGCAGTACGCAGATGCAATGGTCGGTGATGCTTTGCGGCTGTTTTTTTTTAAATCTTTGTGTCAACGCCGCCACCTTGCGGTCATTGAGTGAAACATCATCAAGCACGACTGTGGAGCAATGTCAGACGTGTGTGTGGGGGGGGGAAGCAGATTGTTTTATTTTATATACACACACATACACTGTATCTAAAAACATAGGATGTGAAATCAAGCAATAAAACAAGATGGGTATGCACCAGAGCTCTGTGTTTTGAAGCACTCATGTTGCGTCGACCAACATTGTGCGGAACTTATTTTTTTCCCCGTGCACAGTGATGAACAAATTCTTTCACGATGTAAAACAATGCAGAGACATTAATTTATCGACTGGAATGACAGTATTAGTGCTAGGATTAATAATTAACACTGCTTTTTTAACGTACTGATAATTCCCTACACAAGACTTCATCGTAATTTCTGGAAACGAGTTTTGATTCGGGAACGGAATCTACAAGGCAAGCAGCCTCTTCGCCCACTACGCAGTCGTACAAGGGCACACGCAACGTGGATGAGGCTGAAATTCAGGGTTTAAAAATGAATAAAATCAGAGTAGTGCATCTCCTCTTCTGTGTATGTTACGTACATCATTGTAATAATAATAATAAGAGTATACGATGCATCTATTCAGGGTTTAGTTCAGCCAGATCTCTCCAAGGCAGAGCTCAATAATATATTTCCCTGCCACCCCCACGCTGTCGAGGGGACTGGGCGTGGTGGTCCAGGGGTTCGAGTGTTTGGGGAGCCTCGGAATATATTCAAAGAGAAATTAAGCCATGGATTTATTGAAGATCAGAGTTATGTTCAAATGACTGATTCATAACTGGTAAAAAAAAAACACATTTTACAAAAGAGTAATCGATAGCGAATAATCAGCAACCAAAGAAAATAACGTAATGTTTAATCTCAGAAGTAAACTTGTACTTAACGACAAAAAACGCCTATCGGTTTAATAATACATTACCCGGTCAGTGCAAAACCAAACTCAAAGTTGTAATCACAACAAGAGAAAAGGACGATATATATGTAAGCCCTCAAAAAATGGCTAAATTTACTCCAAAAGCTCCTACACAGATCCAAAAAGACCAATCCACGTAGAACATCATTTCTGGTGTACACAAAACATAAGGGGCTGAGCAATGTGGAGAATAAATACAAACATTTGGAAGCTGTGGCAGGATTCATGTGGATTTGTAAGAGACATCCTGCCAATGCTTAGCCTGAAGGAATTGGCTGTTAACTTCTGCCTTCCAAGCAGATTAATGGAGAAATCCTTCACTCTCCTATTACACAGTAATTAAATAGGGCATTTTTTTTTTTACAATGATGTTCATTACGTACATTCTCAAAAACGTAACACTTTAATTGTGCCCAAACGAATACTCTAAAACATGGTCCTTCACAAGAAACATTGCTCGAATTATAATTCATCGGGAGCATAACTTACGGGGGGTAAAAAAAAAACATTACAGTATATAAAGAATATGGAATATAACTGTTTATTTTTCAATAAAGTGTCTTCCTGCCGAATTTTATTGGCAGCATGTGTGTAAAAAAAGATGCAAAAGCACCATAGTACCAGTCTCTAAAAAATAACGTTTTGCATTCGCACCCCCCTTTCCCCCACACCTTGGTGTTCATTAAACTTTTGGCCTCTGCCACATAGCGTCAAGATCACGTGTCCGTGTCCGATTTACAGTTTTGGAATTTGTCTCGGAGACTGTGCACGCGTTTCAGTTGCCCCGAGGGTTGGCTTCCTGCAGAGGGCTTCGGAGAATCTGCGTCTCCACCTGCCGCGGTGCTCCGCGCGGTCTCAACACTTCTGAGCAGACACCCACCGCTGGCTGCGACGCCCGTGATGCCTGCGCTGAACTCCACCGTGATTTCTGCAAATGTTTTTTGCGGAGACTGTCCCCACGAGTTTGCATTCACGGTGAGAATCTTCCTTGCGATGCTTCTGACCGGGACTTCCATGGTGGCTTGTGTCAGTCCAACCTTTCTGGTTGAGGTCATTTCGGGTGACGATGAATTCCCATTGATCAAAATGCGCGAACTGCACGGCAGAGGAGGCCGTGTGGTGATCACGACAGGATTTTCGTTTTCGGCTCGTTTTACAGATACACTGGGATGGTATGTGTCGATGTAATTTTCGGAAGGTTTTGGTTGAATAGATGTTAAGCAGTCCTGATGGTACATGTTGTTTGTCATCTTTGGTTCAATCACCGCCGTGCTTTGGATGTTACAAGGAACAGTCCTATCAATGACAACTATCTTTTCCGTGTCTTGTAGAACGATTTCTGAACCACAGTATTGTGTGTGTTTGTCTGTGCGTTCATCCAAATGCTCAGTGAGCCAAGATTTGGATGTATCAGAGTCATGTTCTTGGACATGATCTACCTGGTCAATCGTATCAAGAACAGCATTTTGACGAAGCTTCTTCTCTGCATTTATTTCTCCGTCTATCCTGTTTTTGGACGTACCCATACTGACGACAAAATAAGTAACACAATTTTCAACACTTTTGGATGTTGTCAGCTTTAGACTGGATCTCCGTTTGGTCGTTTCAGTTGTGGATTCTTTTGTTCCATCTTTGGTATCCTGGGAAGCCACACATTTTGAGCCAGAATGTTCTATAGGAACGTGAATAACAGAACGAGTGTTGATTGCAATTTTGCTTTTTTGATGCTCCAATTCCTTGTCCTTGGTTATAATTTCTGGCTCAGAATTTCTCCGCTCCAGAAGGGAGTATTTAGACTTAAGGTCATGCACAGTGGAACAGGTTTTGTGATCAGAAACCGCAGTCTCCTTTAACATGGTGGCGGCACACGCAGTGTGTTCTGATGAGGTGGGAGATCTGGAATGGTCTGGAGAGAATGGCCGTGGAAAGGCTGTAGACAATTTGCTTTTGTGAGCCGAGTTCGGGAGTGCCTTGCTGTAGCCCGAAAACGAGGAGGACCTAGACAGACCAGAGCTGCAACGGGCATGTGGAAATCCGGCAACAGAAGATCTGTGAGGGCCGAGGGAAGTGACAGTTTGTGTGACAACACATGCTGGTGGTGACACAGGTGGGGGAGACTTAGGAGTGTAGCGATCATAATAAGACCGGCTCTGATCTTTTACAGCACCCGTTGGTGGGAATTGGCCCGTGAAAAAGGTTGGTCGCCGAAATCCAAATGATGATGGCATTGGTGGATTATGCTCATGGCGGTTTGATCTGTAAGGCTGCTGAGGCCCTGTCGTGGGATGTGCCTCTGAAGGGCTGGCCATCAAAGGAGACAGAGGTGGGCTTGTTGGGGTAGGTGAAGATGGCTCACTGATAGAAGTCTGCTTCTTGTTGAGTTTGTTCTTCAAGGCTGCCTTACGTATGTGTTCTGTGGTTGGCAGCATTGACGGGGCAGAATGTTGTTTCTTCATTGCGAGGTAACCTTCAGCTCTTGAACCTTAAATAAGAGAAACAAAATATGCAAGGTAATAAATGATCGATGTATGTCAGAGTTCGTAACTTACCGCTCATAGCAGTGAGCTTAAATTTTCACCTTACCTCCAATGGACCGTTAGACACACGCTAAAGAATTGTTGATAAAACTAATAATGATGGCTCACGGCTGATCGTTACCATAATGTTTATGTTAACAATTGAAACTTAAAAGTGGGTGTGTGGCTCAGCGATCGATGTGCTAAGCTGGCACCAATGATATATCCTGGGATTGCATTTGAGCATCTGCTCACGATTAAAGCACGTTTTCAAGTGTAGCGATGTAATGGTCTAAAACCGTTCGCCAATAAAAGCATGAAAAAAAACACCATATTATATTTGGTTTAGAACTTTCTTTGGCAAACTTCTACCTCCAAGAATTATATATTTCTGAGTATAATGTGATTAAAGTTAGACTCTGCAGCAGGGCAGGTGGGAAAGTGTCACTCAGTGTGGAGGTCACTTGAAGAGATTTCAGAAGTAGTTCTGCTTTATCTCCTTATGCGGACCACTCTCCAACACGGGGTGATGCACTGCTAGCTGGCAGAGTACTATAACGGAAATATATTTGTCTCATTACATGGTTATGTTTACAAATTTGGAATACAATTGAGAAAATATGTTAAAAAAATATATAATTCACTTGACACTGGAATAAAACAGGACGTTTTTTCGTAGATAACACAAGTCAACATCACATACCGACAATGGCCCCTTGCAGCATCTTGTGTTCCAGCAAAGCCGCCAGCTGCTGGCTGGCCTTCTTGCGCTGTTCTCGGTCTACCTCGTCCCTGTCTGTCTGTGCCTGGGCCTTTAGTCGCTGGTTGTACTGCCTTGCCATGTGCAGCACGTGGGCCCGGCTTCGCTCCTCCTCGTCCGTTCTGGCTCTGCTCGTTTGGCCGTTACCGCCAGGGAAAGAGGCTGTGCGTTTAGTAGCACACGTGTCTTCACGTGTTTTTTTGGCAAGTCTTTCTTGAAAAGTGAACGTCTCTTCTTCTGTATTCTTTGGATGAAATTTGCCGTCATGCCGATTGCAATCTGGGACGCGGGTATCGTCTTCCACGATGCTGTGTTGTGATTGTGGCGATTCCTTTGTGTTGTGTGTAGCAGCATCACACTCTGCTTCTTCTTCCTCTTCAATAAACAACGGTTCGAATTTAGCAGTGCAATCAGGAAAGTCCTTAATGTCAACGCTCTGTTTTTCATGCCCATCAGAACAACCCAATTCATCCGTTGGTGACAAGTCATTTGGTCCTAAATTAACGCAAGATGTTACATTACTCTGCAATTGTACAGTTTCTGACAAGTCCTGGTCTTGTCGGCTGAGAATGCTATTTGTCGCAGTATCCGGCTGTATCTCTACAGCTCCGTCAGCACATGCACCACCATTTTCAACAAACAACTCCTCACTCTCAGATGTGCGACTAAGTGAAGTGCTACTCGCAAAACTAAAATGAGAGGCAGAATTTGTACAGGTGAGAACTGTGCAAGCACCCGTGACCTCGTCCTGTTGAGGATCCCCAGTTGTTGCTTCACCTTCAGAGCCGCTGACACAGTTTTCTGTTTCAGAGTCGTCATCATCATCATCATCCTCATGGGAACTTTCATAAGTGCTTTCCTTTATCCTCTCCATGAAATTATTACGCAGCATGTAGGCAATGGACGATGGCTTACTCACAGGCTCCGATGACACGGTTTGAATGAGAGGGTTCAGCTGCTGGTCCACAGTTTCCCACACGGGCTCAAGTCCTGCAGAGTTGCCGCTGTTTCGTAACAGACTTCTACTCGGGAGTTTCAGTTCAGGGCGATGTGCTGAGTTTTTAGCCAGGCTGCTTATTTTTAAAACAGAATTTTTCACAACGCCCTTCGGAATGAACGCCATGCTCTCTCTCTTCTTGGAAACGGGCATTGCCGATTCTTCGTTTAGGTCAAAGTTCTCATAGAAGCTTTTTATCTTTTGCAGGAGGAGTCTGTCCTTGTTGTTTAGTGTGGAGAAAGCTCCACTCTCAGCAGCACTTGGAACTCTATTTTGAGGATTGGGCACGGTTTGGTATCTCTGCAGCTTTGGCCTTTTTACAGTTCCGTTGTACGGTACTTTATCGTTGCCTCCATCAGAAAACAATTCAGCAGGTGCTTGCTTTGGCTCGGTGGCATGCAGGGTTTCACACGATTGAACAGAAGGATTGGGATCAGACTTTTGCATAAGAGGAGCACTTAGAGCGGTGACGCATTCAGTTGCGTCAGAGCATTCCCCATCGGATGGGACATCATGCGAAATATCGTTGAAGCTCTTGCTTTCAAACTCTGGTTGTGCTAAAGTGACATTTTCAGGACTTGTGGACCTTGAATTGGTTAGAGTTGCCAAGGTATTTTCTTTCATATGCAAGTTTTCCCCTTCTCCATTTTCAGGAGCAGGCATCAAATTCCCAAGGGAAAAGTGCTCAAGTTTTCCATCATCCATTCCACTGTCATCCATGATTTCATCAGTTAATGCACATGCACCCTTGCTATTGATCAAACTATCCTCTTTATCCATATCAATATCTTCAACTGGCTCAGCACTTTCTGAACATAAATCGTCAAAAAGAAACGATTTTGAAAATGAAGACTTCAACCAATCTAAATTAAATTCAGACGCCAATAGGTCCAGCATCACCTAGCAAGAAAACAGATGAGAGACATGTCATGTTTACGTTACTAGACAAGTCAAGCAGTATTTTCTTGTACACAAGTTGATATCAGTGAAGGTTAAGAAGATCATGATTACAATTACGATTGATATGATAATCGTGATAATTAAATAATCACAGTGTGTTCTGTAGATATTGTATGAACGTTCAAGTGAGCACCTGTGCTGATATTGAGGGCTCGAATACAGATTTGACCTCAGATTCAGAATTCTCTGAAACCCCATCGCTCTGTAGGAAGAGAAAAAATTAAAACATCTCAGTAAACAGTAAAGCACTGTAGTGCATGTTCACATGCAGTGCACATTTACACGGGGTGGAGCATTGGCACAAGGGCGAGCACAAAGCGAAACATTCCTGGCGACCTGAGTTCAATTCCCAGCTTACATCAGCGGCGGGTTAAATCTGAACTGCTTCTGGTCCCATCTTCGCCAACCTTCACTGACCAGCATGGTGAAAGATGGTAAAGCCACTGCCATAGCTGGCATGGAGTGACGAGGCTTTTATTTAAGCACGATACCGACAAACGTCTGTCCATACGACAATTGCCCATGTGAAACACCACGACACTTAATTAACATGTATGTTTAACAAGCAATTGGCTTACCCCTCCACAGCTGTCATTCTCTTTACGGAGTTTGTCCTCTCCTGATCGTATCTTGCTCTCACTGCTTGCGCCTTCAAAATTGTGGCCGCAAAAATCATCTCCCCATGCATCGAGCTCGTGCTCACTGCCCCGCCGTGCCGGTGCCGGCAAGCTGTCACAACTCCGGTGTACGTCTCCCCTGCGAGTCCCTTCGCCCGCATCCAGGCTGTCGTTGCTGCAGTGCCTACGCCTCGCGAGGCAATTATCGCTGCCGCCGTGCCGAGTTCCTCCCGCCGCGGGAGGGCCACCCTTCTCCAGGCCGTACTTCCTGGGGCCCAGGAGCGGGCTGTCCACTTCCAGGCTGGTCATGCTGCCCCGGCACAAGAGACCGGCCGCCGGCTCAACGCTGTCCAGGCCGTCGCAGCTCGAGTGACGCTCCTGCGTCTCGCCAGCCTCCAGGAGCTCCGAGCTGCTACTGGGCTCAAACGACTCGCTGTCGCTGAGGAGCTCCCCGACACTGCCCGATCGCTGGGGAGGCACGGCAAGTGTCAGGCGTGATGCTTTGTGCGCAGAAACGAAGCATAAGAACATGATCTAGCATGCGTTAGTTTTAGCTAAGCAAAGGTGTGATGTTTTCTGTGATGTTAGCTTTTTTTGTAGAGTACATGTTTATTTTTTTATTAAGAAGAATGGACAATTTGTAAGATGACCAGTGGTCAAAACCCATGTCGGAGTTGCTGCCAGATGAGAAACGTGCCCAAGAGGACATCGACTCTGAAGGTCGGGCAGTGAAATCAGCTCGTGTGCAAGTGTTCGATGGAATGCTGCATCACGGGACTGTGGGAGATGGTGATGGCTTGGCAGGACCATCACGTGGCCATGGTTTGATCGTGGCTGATGATGATGTTTAAATAAATAAGTTATTGCTGCGTATGAACATTCATTGCAATACACTTACCATTCTCAAATCTACTTCAGTCCATCCAGTGGAGGATATGTAAATGAAACCAGACATGAAGTCAGCACACAGTACAAACACTTCCAATTTCAATGGGACATTATCATGACGATACTTAAGGATATTTAAAAACTTCAGGGCCCTTGTAATTGTATTGCGATTCCATGCCTTCCTCTTGTTTAAATTTCTTGAGTGACCAGTGACTACAAAAATATTCATTCTTTGCCTATGTGGCATCATCATAAACACGGATAACAAAACACTCAACACCTTGGTAAATAACACTGCCCAAAAATGAAAAATTGATAGGTGATATTTCAGGAAATGGCCCTTCTTCATAGCACACTCGAGGCCAGACAGACTGAGTGGATAAGAGTTGGAGACAGTAAAGTGGTCCAGATGTATTGTGACTCCCAATTTAATTCTCGAAAACGTAATGTTTTTTTTTTAAATGACGGTTTATTTAAAACAGAAATGAATATGCAAAGGGGAAAAATGCGAGGGCTAAATTAATTGGGAGTCACAAGACATCTTAACCACCCTGTACTTTACACCATGGGGCCTGATAACATTTATATCTTTTTTTGTTTCCTGATGAACAGTTTTTAAATCGGCATATTAATAGTTTCCTTTTGATCGCTGTTTGAATGACAAACCCTTCGATAATCAAGGTACTTTACAGTCTCGTGACAGTATTCAAAGTATAATATATAGCCCACACAATGCATTATGGGAATAATTGTTTGTGCGAGGTCAATGCATTTCCGATCACTGTGCTGCCAGATCGGAGTTCAGTACATTTCCACAACTGTAAACCAATTACGCATTTTTTTGTCTTTTTAAAATTATATTTCAATTGTCCTCTCGGCATCATGTCATGAGATGATGTGTTCATTTTTAACTCTTGTACAGCAGCGAAGGTCCATGATAAAGGCCCATGGAAGGAGGTAATAATAATTTACATGTATTTTTAAGGCGTCTTACACTATTGATATCTGCACACATATCAAGAAAATTCCCTTCAAGTGACTTTTTTAAAACCACACACTAGGGGGTGCTGCACTTTCCCACACATCCTGCTGCAGGGGACTTGTTCAAAGCGTGGCAGTCAAAGGAATATTTAAATAACTAAATCTGACAGCTGGGATTTCAAAACCAATTTTAACACGACAGCCCTTTTGTATAGTTACTGGCGACCAGGATAAGACCATTAACTGACTCCACTTTGAGAACCCAGTTTAACTTCGCGTGGTGCCACCGCGGATTTGATCACACGATCTCAGTGGTGTCAGCTACTCTGTCACCAGACCTACGCACAACACAAGAACTGCGCACGAGGGGGCGCTCAAAGAGCAGGCTTCGGCGGAGGCCGTTCGAGCTTCGTGCTTTCACTGCCATCTGTGTCTTCATTGTCTAGCTTCGTTAATGTTTGCCCTCATATATTTGCCCAATCATAGCACGTACAGCATAGGCCTCTATTGCATGGCCGCGCAGAATAATTACAAAGATGCCCTGTTTTGTGTCAATAAATAAAGTAATATTTATTCATTGTGGTTGAATAATTAGCTTGTTATACCAGCTCATGATGACCTATTTCGCTAATACTGTCACGAGACTGTAAAGTACACAAGCAGACAGCTGACAAAACATTTGGAATTGTGCCGACAGCAAAACTTTTGTAAGCACAGTAAATGTATATTAATCAACACCCCACAATGTCCCTTTGTTTACCTATATATTTTTTTTAAGCCAGTCACATCTTGAAGTTGTTACGTGTTGAAAAAAAACTAAATTATTTCGTACACTTGCGCTTTGTCTCACTAATTCCTTAAATACATTTTCGAAGGAATTAATTCTGCAGAGATTACTTAAGTTCACCCTAAACCCACACGGAAACGAGAAACAAAACACACCGAGTGGCTCCAAAGTTCGTGCTTTTCTTGTCGCAGGTTCTAAGAAACGGGAACAAGAGAACATTTGACAATGTGAATACAAATGTCGCCAAACGCACACTAAATAAGACATTCACAATTACATACTTTCTAAGATATTACTCAGAGTAATTTTGAACCACAGCCCGACAGTTAACGTGACGCATGCAACATAGGAAATGGCAAAAACTGAATACTGGAAAGTCTGAAAGATGTCAGCAGACAGCTCAGGGTAACCTGTGCACCAAACCCCATGGCAGTGAGGGGGGTGGGGGGGGGAAGAGGCCCCCTGCTGAAAGCTGAGCCTCCCTTGTTAAATCCTTGTAGAACAATTAAGCAGCAAATAGGCGTCGAAGCTTTTCCTCAAACACAGTACATAAGGCGCACAAACTTGATCATAATACACGACGGACAACAGGAGATCGAATCGTTATACATTCTGCTTGGGGTTTAACATTTGTTCAAAGTTTGTTGAACATTGCCTGTCATGACCCCACTTCCCCAACCTTCCCCTTGAGCTTTTTAATGCCCCCCCCCCCCGCCCCGCATGTACAGGGTTGCTGTGCTCCCCAACAGCGTGTCGGACGACACAACTGACCTGACTTGCGTCGACCTCTTCGCAAGGCGAAGCTGCCAGTGGTAGGCGGCACAGGCTGTGCGTGAGGCTGATCTGCACGAACAAAGCAAATAAAGGGGACACCCCAGCATCAGGGCCAGGCTCGACGGTCGTACGCTTTATCTATTGCCACAAAATGTCTCTAGAGGCAAGCCAATGTGGCACTCGATGCATACAGCCCTAGGAACAGTAATTCGCAATGGGAGACTGCGCTGGTGATCATTCCAACGTTATCATTTAGTTGGTCTTTGATTAATAAAAAAAAACCTACGCCCCTGTCTTTTGTTTGACTATAGTGGTTTACGTCGGAAACTATTAAATTGTCCTCACCATGCCGTACTGACCAGCCTGGTGAAGTATAGCAAATCACACCTGCAATTTGCGTGGTGCAGGGAGATTCTCATCCAGCAGTGGATATCTAAAGAGGGCTGTATATGTATTATTCATTTTTTTTAAATCCAAAATCGGTTTTAATGATAAAGTAAATAACTTAAAGCTGCGTAATTTGATATTTATGCTCTTTAAGCATCTGTAGTCATAATATTTCATTATCGTCACTATTGCCATTTATTATTTATATAGTCTATCATGCCCTTCTCTGCAGAACTGGAGGCGCAAAAACATAGTTAAAACATGAAGTCAAATATGAAAACATGAAATATAATATTGTAGGTACAAATGATGATTGTGTTTCAACGGACACATTATCAAACACGATACTGTACTTACGGAAAGCGTCCATCTCTAAGATGGCTTGTTTGGCCTACAAAGCAAAGAGATTTGCATCAATGATTTAACAAAAACAAACATAAATGCTGGCTTAAAGTATTCTGAAATCTGGTGGGCCCACAGCGGAGACCACAAAGGGCAAAATTAAAGCAATTTTGTGATCTACAATTTCCTTGAAATGAAGGAAAAACAAATGTGACGTGACATGACAATGTGAGATGCCTTAGCAGGCCACACTCCTCCACGATCACATAGTTTTACTCATTCGAGACAATTTCGCTCACACTAACTCTGCTTCTCCGCTGACAAAAAAAAGGTTTTTGAAAATAATGCCAGCTCCAATGACCATCTCGGATAAATACACCCATCAATGGTTAAACATCACAGCAATAAAAACAGTATTTAATATTATGTGCAGTTTATAAATACACAATTTATTATATAGACATAAAAGCGAAGGATATTTTTAGTACCAAACTCGTGAAAATATTTATTCCAGATATAATTTAGAATGTTTTCCTCTGCATTAGATATCACAATATGTTGACAGGAGAGATGGCTAACCATCGAATAAAGATGGTCACTGCATTGCGCGCTTTCAGATGTGCTTCTGCGGCCATCTGGAATGCCCTTCCTTCCGATATTAGGAAGCCACTGGAGCTATGCACATTTAAATTATCTAGATTTCTTTAGAACTGTTTTTTGTGTTTAATTTGTTGTCTTTCTCTTGTACAATACATATGTACGGTGCGAAAGAAGTTCAACATACGCACGTGACTTATTTGAGAGCCTATCAAAGGGAATACTGCAGATATAAACACCAACGAAAATAACCTCATCTTTCATTTCATCTCTGCATTCCTCACAGTCATCACAGAAAACCTCGAATATATGGCTCCCTCAAAATAGACACAAAATATATACTTTTAAAAAGGCTTAATAAAATAGGCTTATTCGTATAATGCATCGAAATACCAGAGCATCCCAAGACACCCTATACAATACAATCATCATTAACAGTGTTGTGAAAGGATAATGAAAATCATTATATGATAATCATGTACATTTTATATAAAATTAGGTCACAATTGCAATATATATGTTGCATTTTAACAGGTACTTACATTCCAAATACTTAAAAGTTTGGTCTAAAATGTTAGACCTGCATTTGAGATGAATATGCTGCCAAAGTATGGTGCAGCAATATCGATTATTATCATGCAGTCATGGTGAACAAATAGAAGGGGGAAGCGTTTTTAGCACCGTGTGTATGTTAAACTTCTTTCGCACAATACCTAGCCAACCATGCTAATCGGAGGTACATAGCATGACTCACGCTAAACTCATCACAACCGCCATATGCCACTCATAGGCCACGTGGGCTGCTCAATTCATGAGTCAGTCAACCATCACCAAACTCCTTGTGTGGAAGGAATCTGGTGAGTAAGTTCGACAGGCCACTTCACAGGCCATGCAATACTCAACATGTGCCGCCACGTCATCCCCGATGCCTGGTACTTGTTACCGTTAGACTTTAGCGGTGGCCTCTCATGCCGATGTGAGAAATGGGCTGACAGAACGAATCCTCAAACGTTTAAGAGCAAGAGGTTGTGTTTAAAATGAAATAAAACTAGTGAGTATATGGTTCAGCATGAAAGATTTACGTACGTGAGGGAAAGAAGAGGTCTGGTTAAAGTCTGACAGTGCAATGTTCCTTTAACATCAGACAATGACGTGCCGGGTCAGTTATGAGAATACGTGCAGGCTGAGCGTTTCAACAGCAGCAGCGGTCACCTTGAGTGGGATTTTTCCTGGGTGATTCTCTAGGATGAGCCTTTTCAATTCGTGGATCCAAAGCCTCTTTTCATCAAAGGAGCGTGCCTGAAATAACAAATTAAAGTTCACAGACAATCGATGATCCGGGTGTACCCAGGGCTTAGTTTAAGCTGGGTCTGTCTGGGTCGAAGACCCCAAACATAAGTTTTGCACCTGGCACGCTGTATCCAGTATAAGTGTTGCTATGGCTTTGGCTATTAGTCACGTGCCTATTTCAGTCCACAAGTGACCCCGAAAATATTGCTCGATAAATTATGCCCTGGGTGTAACTTGTCATGAAACGGTTTGGGCACATGTCAAGCCGCATAGAACCGAGAATAAGGAAAACACGAGGATACTTTGTATTGTGAACGTGGAGAAAGTATCTCAGCCAAAAAGTTGATATTAATGTTTTCCTCGAATGAGTTGTGGAAATTTCAGCATGTTAAAAGTTAAAAAACAGAGCAATAAAATGCATAAGTTATAGCAACTTTGTGAGTTATTAACCAAAAAGGAAACATTTAGTTTGACGGCCCAATGTAGACATCAAAAGTTAACTTTGGCAGAAAGATCGTGTTGTGAGGACCAATGTCATTCTGTATTGCTTGATAATAATATACAATACACACACACGCGCGCATATGCTATATTAATTAACATTCATGAAAAATTGAATGTGAAGATATTTCAGCTTCCATTACTGAAATATGACTTGTGTACGCATCGAATGTACTATGAAGCTATCAAGAGCTATCAAAAGCTTTAAATCAAAATTTAAGAGCTGAAAGGTCAATACCAGTCACTCGATTTAGATTACAATTCAACCTAACCCATCCACATGATATTAAACGTCTACGCACCCAAAGGCAAGGTGTCTGCATAATATCAACCAGTCAGAATATTCTTGATCCCTGGAGGGAAATGACCTCAGATTTTGGCTGGCATCGGCCACCCTGCTGTTCCGAGCGTTTATTACTTCCTGAACCCGAGAGGCAATCCATCTCTCAGCGGTCACCTCCCAGGAGGCAGTGTTTCACGGGACGGCTCTGCCCCTCGGCATTCGTGATCGGCCGTTTGCGTGTTGGCGCAATGTGAATGGAGGAGGTCACATTTGCAAGCAATTTCTCAAGATTGTGAACAACTTGCTAAGCAAACAAAATTCAAATTCTTCACGCAAACCCACAGCCAAACACACACGTAATTAGTTGAAACTCAAAAAACACGATTATAACCGTAGATACACAAACGTTAAGACTAAATCGTACTTGTGATGCTATCATAAAAGCATACGCAGTGATGCATAATAGCCGTCTACAAAGTGAGATCATGGCTCTTAAAAGAGCACGAGGAATGCATCGGAGATGAAGGATGCTGAGCCAACCTGCACTGTGTGCTGAACCTTGCTGTTTTTGAAGTGGCGGACGCTGAAGCTGAGAGGCTCCTTGGGAACGTGTTCCACAAGCATGAGGTTTGAGCACTGAGGGACCATAGAGAGCGTGTGTGAACAAGCATTATTTGCATAACCGCAAAAAAAAAATCGGCTAATTGTTAACCAAGATCACTTCATGAAGAGGGGGAAGTTGATTATAAGCACAGTTCTAATATAAGCAACGCATCGTTACATTACGCCGGTAGGGGGAAGGTTAGGGGTCACTTCAGATACAACACACACTTTGGTATAGAAGCACAGCTGGACCTTCTCCCAAGGGGTGTGCTGTTATTCAGATGTTACAGTACTGTATTTTTTTTATTTTTTTCAGGAGATTAAGAGGTTGCCTTCCGTGTTCTGCTTTGTTAAATGCTGTACAAGATTTCCCATTCATTTCAAATGACATCGTTACAAGACATCCTTAGCCCTGGACTGGTTGGATTGGGCTGTGGTTTCTCCTTCGCCGACCCCCAGGCTCATCCCCTGTGCCTGTTTGCTCCTTCCTGCGTGACTCACACACCAGGCTGCTCACCAGGATATGTGCCTTGTAGGCGTAAGCGTCGTCGCGTCTCTTGGTGAGCAGGAGGATGCAGTGGAAGAGGAAGAGGGAACGCTCGTGCCGTGCACGGTGCACGCGGAACGTGCCCTCCAGGACCAGCTCGCCGTAGCGGCACAGCTCGGGGCCCTGCCACTGCACCAGCTGCGCCTGTATCTCCTGCAATCCGCGCGGTCGCAATGGTACACAAGTCATGCATTCCCATCGACTCCCTCGATTACTTTTGAAAGCATGTTTGGTAATTGGGATTTACAGCTGCTTGTCCTGTGGAGCCATGCGTGTCCCAAAATAATGTGGCTTTTTTGTTGGCCGATTCTACAGAAACCATTTCAGCTAATTGGTCGGAGGTGGAATGAACAGGTTTGGAGCCTTAGCGGGGGTTAATTACATTGTTGAGAAGGTAAGAGAGGCAAGACCTAGATGTTTGGGCACGTGTTGAGAAGACACAAAGACGATGGATTAGAGTGGCCATGGAGATGACACTGGTGTAGGACAGAAGGAGGAGAAGGGGACCGAGGGCAGGATGGATGGATGTCGTGGAATGAGATACGAGGATGGCAAATGTGATGAGAGAAGAATTACTGAATAGATGCGAGCTGTGGCTGAGCATCGAACTGGGGATGCCGAGTTAGCGTGCTAACCACTGTACGACTGTACCACCACTCCACCTACTGCTCGATAGGCCTTAAAAAATTATTTTGGCAAAATATTTTGACGCCGGTGATATATTATTTACATTTGAAATTAAATATATTGAAACTGTGCATAATATAAAATATAAGTGCCTCTCTGTACTGTTTGGTCACCGTAGATTGACATTACTCTGCAGTAATTGAGTTTATCTAAAAAAACCCAACATTCACTTGCGACAAAATGGCATTAAAAACAGCTGTGCTTTTCAGTTTTTCTAAGCAGACCGCATGCCAGAAATTCCAGCTCTATTTGGTCCCTAATGCATTAGGGCTCTGTAACATTTTTTTAGTTTGCAGTTCAAATCTGAGCCATTTGTCTTGTTTTTTGGAAGGCAGAGTTTCATTTAACAGGATGTATTGGTACTTATTGCACACACACACACAAGTCCAAGCTGTGAGATTGTAATTACTGTAACTGAAATCCACAACTCACATGATACCCAGAAAGGCAGCAAACATACATTCCAAATCAGCAACTAGCTAAGGGCAAGACACGAAACAATCACTCGAATGCTTTGGTAAAATGAATCTGCTTGTGAACTCATGGAAGATTTTCCTTTGCCATCTAATGAAACCATCAATGATAAGACATAACTTTGAACGAACAGCAAATTAATTGAAAGCAGCTTTGAGTAAATAACATGTATGTGCATGCTTGGCAATTCCCAAATTCCACGTCCTGTGCAGTATTATAATAATCATCATTATCAGTAATTGTCTACCCACTGCTGAATAAAGGCTTCCTCATGCTTTCATCGGTCATGGGGCCTGTCTGACCATACTTCAGTGCGGGTTGGTGAAGACAGCGTAATGTTGCCTTGCCTCTCGCCAAGGACATGCCTGGTGTTGGGTGCCCCTATCTAATACAAACACTCAGGTCTTAAAGTCTCTCAAACCTTTTTGCCACATCAAGGCAGTGCCACAATAAAGAAGAACCACTCGTACCATTGGCATGATACATTGCCTAGTATTTTGTTCATTTTAATGCAGGACTATGCAGTCAGCAGACAACCCCATTGTTGCACTGTACCCATGCTCCAACAACTATGCTCGCACTGACAGGGGTGTATGGGAAGGCCGTCATTCAGAAAGTCATTGACAAAAGGGGCTGTACGTGTACGTTCACATGAGTTCGGCGGGACTCCCCACGTGACCGTAGAAGCGAGGCATTGCCAAGCGGCACAGACCTGAACGCGGGCGGCGTGCTCATGCTTGCGCTTGATGTCGTTGATGTGCCACGCCACGCTGGTCATGGTGGCCGTGGCCTCCTCGATGACCTCCATGCCCTCCGCAAGGCCCTCGTAGTGGTTCGCTATTTCCTGCAGGCACAAAGGTAAAGATAGACTTAAAGGTGCAGCCCTGCAATTTTGCTTGCTCATGCCACTGCTGGCGGGAAGGGCCTCCAAGAGCTCGTGAGAGAACCGCTTCTAAGATAATATTTAGGCCCGCTCCTCCACACCAACCAGAGGCCAAAGGAGAGGTGGGAGCACTCACACTTTGCCCAACCACACGGGACCTGCTGATCAACTAACTGTGGATTACCCAATTATACTCCTGGGTGGACAGAGGCAGGGGAAATTTAGAAACTTGTACCATTGTTTCAACTGCCACTCCGGAAACCTCTGGATTTCATGTTGAGTGAGCTTACCATTAAACACCACGGCACCCACCCATTTGCAGCATTCATCATTCTCAGTGCGAGCTTTGAGGAAACATTTGAACTAACAAGCTCAGTGGATGACATTGATAAAAATAACCACCCGAGTCCGACAATGGCCATGGGAGGCCCTGCGCATGTAGGCATGACTCACTCGCAGCAGCAAGTGGTATTTAAGGATGCGCTGCACGGGCTTCAGCAGGTAGCACCCGAGTGGCAGTGAGTGCTTCAGCGACGCTTGCACCTCCCCGAAGAACCGGGTCATAGCGACGCTGCGTGCACACTCGTTCAGCACGTCGATGGCACTGCAGGGCACCACAACACGGAATCAGGATCTCTTTCACAGATACCCAGTTTGGGGCACGGGGTCATCAAAGCTATAAGAACAAACGATGTGAAAACACAATAGGAGGGCAAGGACAAGGGATCGTAAACAGATGACTAAAAATAATAATAATCAAACATCTATGTTTATTTCACCAGGTAAAGCCAACTCAGCTATTCGCTTCTTTTTCAGAAGTGATCTGGCCACAAATTATTGCTCAACGAAGGGGCTTATCACGTGGTAATTTATAGCAGCAAAAGTAACCCACATTATCGCCTTAGCATCTTCATCGAAACAATTTTGTTATTTTTGTTAACGTACAGTGAGGGAAAAAAGTATTTGATCCCCTGCTGATTTTGTGACAAAGAAATGATCAGTCTATAATTTTAATGTTAGGTTTATTTGAACAGTGAGAGACAGAATAACAAAAAAATCCTGAAAAACGCATGTCAAAAATTTTATAAATTGATTTGCATTTTAATGAGGGAAATAAGTATTTGACCTCTCTGCAAAACATGACTTGGTACTTGGTGGCAAAACCCTTGTTGGCAATCACAGAGGTCAGACGTTTCTTGTAGTTGGCCACGAGGTTTGCACACATTTCAGGAGGGATTTTGTCCCACTCCTCTTTGCAGATCTTCTCCAAGTCATTAAGGTTTCGAGGCTGACGTTTGGCAACTCGAACCTTCAGCTCCCTCTACAGATTTTCTATGGGATTAAGGTCTGGAGACTGGCTAGGCCACTCCAGGACCTTAATGTGCTTCTTCTTGAGCCACTCCTTTGTTGTCTTGGCCGTGTGTTTTGGGTCATTGTCATGCTGGAATATATATCCACGACCCATTTTCAATGCCCTGGCTGAGGGAAGGAGCTTCTCACCCAAGATTTAACGGTAAATGGCCCCATCCATCGTCCCTTTGATGCGGTGAAGTTGTCCTGTCCCCTTAGCAGAAAAACACCCCCAAAGCATAATGTTTCCACCTCCATGTTTGACGGTAGGGATGGTGTTCTTGGGGTCATAGGCAGCATTCCTCCTCCTCCAAACACGGCGAGTTGAGTTGATGGCAAAGAGCTCCATTTTGGTCTCATCTGACCACAACACTTTCACCCAGTTGTCGTCTGAATCATTCAGATGTTCATTGGCAAACTTCAGACGGGCATGTATATGTGCTTTCTTGAGCAGGGGGACCTTGCGGGCACTGCAGGATTTCAGTCCTTCACGGCGTAGTGTGTTACCAATTGTTTTCTTGGTGACTATGGTCCCAGCTGTCTTGAGATCAGACAAGATCCTCCCGTGTAGATCTGGGCTGATTACTCACCGTTCTCATGATCATTGCAACTCCACGAGGTGAGATCTTGCATGGAGTCCCAGGCCGAGGGAGATTGACAGTTATTTTGTGTTTCTTCCATTTGCGAATAATCGCACCAACTGTTGTCACCTTCTCACCAAGCTGCTTGGCAATGGTCTTGTAGCCCATTCCAGCCTTGTGTAGGTCTACAATCTTGTCCCTGACATCCTTGGAGAGCTTTTTGGTCTTGGCCATGGTGGAGAGTTTGGAATCTGATTGATTGATTGCTTCTGTGGACAGGTGTCTTTTATACTGGTAACAAGCTGAGATTAGAAGTACTTCCTTTAAGAGTGGGCTCCTAATCTCAGCTCGTTACCTGTATAAAAGACACCTGGGAGCCAGAAATCTTTCTGATTCAGAGGGGGTCAAATACTTATTTCCCTCATTAAAATGCAAATCAATTTATAACATTTTTGACATGCGTTTTTCTGGATTTTTGTTGTTGTTATTCTGTCTCTCACTGTTCAAATAAACCTACCATTAAAATTATAGACTGATTATTTCTTCGTCAGTGGGCAAACGTACAAAATCAGCAGGGGATCAAATACTTTTTTCCCTCACTGTATTCATGGTACGGAAAAAAGCATTCTCTTGTCATGTATGTGTTTACGAATAATGAATGTAACTTTTAATTTACTGCTCTGTATTCATGATTATTGTAAACAAACTAGTTTAAGGACTTCATCACAGCTTTATGGATATTAAAATTAAAATAAAACTTAGACAAATTTGCATACTCAAGAATGATATTTCAGATGGGGCTATTGGCTCAAATATTTTAGTTTATTCCCATAGAAGTTATTGTATTCATAACATTTTAAATCCATTATACCACCCTGCCATAGTGATAACTGGAATGAACAAAAAACAGATAATATTACAAATAAAGGAACATGTATGCTTACTTTGGATAGTTCATACAGTACTGGGTATATATGTGAAAGGCTTCATTCTGCCGAAAAAGAACAAGGCAAAGATAATTCAAATTAGCGACAGCGATGTTACATGCATGAACAAATGAGAATGTGAACAAGTCCAAAAATATTCCGGATCATAAATACATAGAATGTTTTTTTTTTTAATTAGGCGATGTGCCACTCCATGAAGATGCTGATCGAATCACCAATGACACATTAAGTTTGAAGAAACCTTGAGCATGATTCCTAAAAGGACAACATACACCAAGAGACATTGCAATGAAAAAACGAGGTTGCTGGCAATGATGTTGATCATGTTTATTTCAAAACTGGAAATATGAATAGGATGGGGAATTTAATTATGCTAATGACATGTCTGCAAGATGATGTATCTTAAAAAAAACCCTTCATGTACCAAGGTAGTACATGTAATAATAAGAGTAATTTACAGCTCTTTGTCAATACACTGATTAAAGTTGGTCATGGAATAGTTTGAGCATGCTTTCCCACTTCAGTCAATGCACATTGATGAAGGTGGCAGCCAGAACCGGTTCAGATACTCACAACTGATGTTAGCCGTCTGTGAGAATCAAACTTGGGTAACCGGATTCATAAAATAAAGCGCAAACTGCGATGCCAGCACTCCGCCATGCATCAAGGAATAACAACAATGAAATGAATAGCCATCTCAAATTGTTGTCAAAATATGCCTTTAAAGATTATTTAGGACAATTTTTAAGATGATTTAGGTAATGTTTCATCGAGTCTAGAGCAGTACATCTTACGTGGGAAGGCACACATTGGAGATGAATGTGTCATGAGAATGCTAAAACTGTCAAAGTAATTTTCCCAAGAGTGAAAACATGTTTTTTTTATATTCTGCTATCTTCTCCATAATTTAAAGATCACAACCCGAAAACTCAAACTCCCAACCTTGAACCTCTTCCAAGCAACACAGTCCATGAGCAAAGCCTGAAGTAAACCGCATGAAAAGACGTAATGCAAAATTAACAGATATAAATATGTAAGTCGTAATCACGACATTTTACTCAGGATGTGTTCATGCAACCTCTAACTGCTCCTGCATGTCTTGTCTATAATTGATAAATAAATGGTTTAGCACAGCAGGGAAGCACACAAACATGAGAAGATCAAACTAAAGGAGGCAATTTGGCAAGGGTATTGACCATGTAATTTAATAGCCAAGTAGGGCAATTGGAGTATCCGGAAAGAATAAGATCTACAGGGGGTAGGCTCCCGGACTTGTCTATTTTAGCCACCGTGGCAATGATGCCACCCACGTGGCTACTGGGACAGGATCATCACGGCTCATTAAACAAGGGTTAAGACTAAATCTGTGACATTTACGGGCTGCAGATATAATAGATTATCTACGAATTAATACAATTTACACAAGTATGTGTCTGTTCATGAGTTAGGCTTCCAGCACTCAAAAATATAATTCGTGCAAAAATTGTTCTCCAACACATGTTGGAAAGCACAGTGGAAACTAGAATAAAATAAAAGTGTAACCAAATAAGACATGAAGAAGCAAACTCAAGGCACTATTTAATACACATTGCCATAACAGAATTGAAAGACAATTCTTCTTGGTTCTTTCGGTAAAGTTACGTAGAATGGAAATAAAATAATAAAAATAAAATTTATTTTATTTTATTATGTTTTATTTTTATTATTTCCCTTCTACGTGACTTTACCGAAAGAACCAAGAAGATGAATCCCTGCAGTCACGAAAGCTTTAAATCGAAATGAAAGACAATTGAGGGACTTTAAAACCACACACAATATAAATCATGTCAGCTCGGTACAAGTTTAACTTACATTATCTCGTTAAGCCGCGGCTCATGGACATGCACACGCAAGGTTAGCTCTGAAGTATATTTTGTAATGTCAACATACCAAACAGTAAACAACGGTAATGGGAGCAACATGGGCGTTCCACCGTTCTGCACAAGAAAATCCTGCTCAGCACTGCTGTGCGCGAGTGATTGCTAGCTTGTCAGACAGGGAGACGCTGGGGAGTACACGAGCAGACTGACAATAATCGTGGCCTCTTTTGCCACAAACGTGTAGTCGCACTGCACGCACGCCTCTCGCCACACAAATAAGTACGCATTTGCAATTTTGAAACGTAAATATTTTCCCTAAAATTACGAACAGTATTGATGTATGCATGTACAGTGTACTCTAGAGCACGTAATATATAATCTCAGTCAGCATATCGATACATGCAATGTAGTGATGAAAGGTAAATGTATAAACATAACTACATGCATATTAAAGCGTTGAAATGTGCGACAATAACATTCACACACACACACGTGCTTGCACTCACGCACAAAAAAAAACATTACGAGTAATCTCTGAAAGCATTTCCACATTTAAACATTTAAATAAACTCTCTCAGAAACGAAGTGACTGCTGCCATAAATAAGGCAGAAAACTCATTTTGTGTTCCCTCACTGGGAGCTCCCAGAGAGCTCAAATGCCCCATAACCTCGCACTGCTCCGGTCACAGGCATTTTCAGTTTGGGGGAAAATACAATTTTTGGGGGGGGAAAATAACTTTTTGGGGGGGGAAAATAATTTTTTTTGGGGGGGGAAAAAAACACGTTAAAAGTGAGTCCATGGCAATGCTGAAATATTAAACACGAATCAATGGGAGATGTTCAAGGAGGATGTGAGGGCAATTATTATACATGATGGAAAGGATTTATATTTTCATGACCAAATTAGATTTTAAAACCAGAATGATTTAAAGTTGCAATAGGCTGGACAGAGAACAGACTGCCTGTCAGGTCACGTGCCATGTAAAAATGGGTGTTGCAGAGTAACAGCCAAATCCAAACTGTAGCAGACTTTGGCAACGATGGCCAATGTATTTCATCCGATGTTTTGCAGTTAAACAAATATATATATAAATGACTAACTCCGTGCAGCAAAGTAAAATGTTACGATTAAAAAAAACCTAAATTAACATAAACACGTAATATTGTTTGGTATTTCCTTAATTGTTGGAGAAATATGAGTAAAGTCAAGTTTGTATACCATCCTTCATTAAAATAAAGATGGCAATTTGTTATCAAGGCCAAGAAGTCATCAGTGCAAGTACGTTGATACCACCACACCTCGTGATTGCTACCTTCTGGCGCACCCTTACAAAAGTGGTCAAAAGAGGTCAAAGAGTGATATGATTGATGAAAAAGATTACATTGCTCGACCATTAAAGTAGAACTATAAATTGCGATTAACGGGATCTGCTTCGGATTATTATTAAAAATACTGAGGTTTACCTCGGTTGCCAGTAACTCCACGAGCACGATCTCAATTTGCAAATGGGGAAATTCAAGTGACGGCATGAGGCCTCCAATTTGGCTGCCGCCGCTATGAATTCCTGCTGTTTGCACTTGGAATGCGCGTGCACAGCAAGCGCGCTAACCACCGAGAAACACCATCGTTCTGTTGGCAGCGTTAGACAGGAAAGCTTCTCGTGGAATCTTGAGCAATTAATAATTTAAGCTGTCACTTAGGAAAATTGATGTTTGATAACGTTCCAAAAGAGTATAGGGGTGTATTTGAAATAATTGTACTTAATTTTGAAAGTAAGCCCTGTAATACATCTGGTATCTGTAGTAACCTCTCTGTGAACTAATCGTATGTTTAATAATGTACTGCCCTTGTCAGAAAGTGGAATGGGGCCTTGGCCGAGGCAAAAACAGCGCATTATTCACATCCAATGTGGTTTCTCAGGTTGGAATGCTGTGAAAAGACCGCGAGTGGTGCAATCCAACAGCCCCAGCAGCTCCTTCGTGATGCAGTATTATCTGATCTGACAGAATTGTTGGCTTAAAGAAGATCAGTGTCACATATTAAAGTAGTGTATGTGACTAAATGGCTATACATTATTGAAATTACACAAAAACACAATCCAGTCAAGGGGGTACTTTGGCAGAGTATTCACCATCACGACACACACACACACTAGGGTCAATAAAACCAAGTGCAACTTCTTGCTTGGGAAGTCAATAATGGTTGTTGTTTGGTTAGACTGGACTCCCGTCATAATAATTTTTTTAATATCCACCATTGGATCAGGCCTGCCAGTGGAGATGGGAAGCAGCCTCCCGTTTATCTGAGCATGGAGATGTAACAAGACCTTTGAAAATACAACTAATTTGGGGAAATGCAATAAGTGAATAAGTTGATATAAAACAGATGATACAGCGGTACCAGGCACGATTGAGACATCTCTGCAGATTCTCTCAAGGCATTATGCACCTTTTATTAAATAATACTACTCTGATATTGTTCAGGAAATACATTAAACATAAACAGAGATTGGAATATTTCTTAGATATACCAAATCAAATTAATACGCTTTATATATAAATACACACAAGCACAAATAAGTGTCGAAAATGTTAATGATTTAAATTCTTTCTCCATTCAGTAACAGTTTACACAGATGTGAATGTTTTTAGACATTTATGAAAATGTATTTCCAATAATTAAATGCTTATTTTTAATTTTAATTCATTTAAATAATTAATAGACCACAGGCAACTGTCGTGGTAAACATGGACAATTCAATTCAGGATAAGTTTACATTTGACAAAGAGGTAATGGCCAAGTATAATGTTAAGACAACACAAACCGTGAACGCAAGCACTATGTGTAACTTGTGTGGCTGGCATTTGTTTTTTTCAGATAAAACAGAACACGGTTTCCTATTAATGAGATAATTGCAGATTTCCAGACACTATTTAAAATAGCAGGAGTGCATTAGAAGTAATATTTCATTTTTAATAATACTTATTCATGTCACAGTTATGTTATCGTGTAACCATCTCGTGTGTGTGTGTGACCAGTGGCAATTGGGAATATATTGTTGCTACATCATGGGACCTCCTTTGCCAGTACCAAAATATGAGAAGAGGTTTCCCCTTTTGTCTGACAACAAAAGTTGTTGTTGGTGGGACCAATCAGTTTCAAAGACAATGCATATATTATCAGAGTATTTTTTTTGTTTGCATTCTGACTACAAGTATTGTGGTTAATGCAGACATGATTCCTTGTAAAAGGTTTCAGTTTGGTGTTTTAACATCTCAACACCTGTTTTGTTGCCAGAAAAAAGGGGAAAACCTATTCTCAATATATTGTTGATTTCAGTTTTATGATGTGATAAAACACACACATGGTGAAACAAAGCAAAGAGATGTAGATGAAGAAATATTTACTAAAATGTTGACAATAATCTAAATCAGTGGAATATATGTCATAAAAAGTATTGATATCACAAGTATTTTCTCCCATAAGATGAAACAGCCAAAGCAAGCATACACACATGTGTATATTCTAACAGGACACTGTTCAATGCATATAACCTAGAGTCGTAATGAGTGAGCCTATTCCATCAATGTACACTAAACTGTGTTCCCAATAGTGTGCAGCGAGATAGAAATATATTCTTGGTTCTTTCGGTAAAGTCACGTAGAAGGGAAACAATAAAAGAATAAAAATATAAAACAATAAAATTCTCAAAACAATAAAATTGTGAGAATTTTATTGTTTTATATTTGTATTCTTTTATTGTTTCCCTTCTACGTGATTTTACTGAAAGAACCAAGAACATGAATCTCTGCAGTCACGAAAGCTTTAAATCGAGATAGAAATATTTCGAATTAACACAGGACAGAGCAGCGCACCTTGGCTGCTCTTTAACCTTCCTTTTCTGTCTGCCCAGCCGCCACCCTCCTCCGATCCGGTGGTGGTGGTGCTGGGTGACATGCTAATTCATATGTTAATTCCGCCCACACAGCTTAAAAGACGCGACCCATGCTTAGCAATGTTCACTCAAGCGCAGTCTTCTGGACAGTCCTGTTCATTCACCTGAAGAAGGCTACTTGTGTTGTGGCCGAAACGTCGTGAGAATTTTATTTTATTGTTTTATTTTTATTTCCATTCTACGTGACTTTACCGAAAGAACCGAGAAGACGAGATAGAAATGTTAATGCTTTTTAAACTTGATGAATGTCATACTTGTTTTCATAATTAAAAGCGATTTAATATTCACACAGTGAGGGAAATTATTTGCTTATTTGGAAGACATTCCAAATGTAATCATCAAGTATGTTTTGTTGCGTATGACTTTTCTCTTCATGGCAGTGTAATTCACGGATGTGTCGAGTAATTTCTTGTGCTTCTGCAACAATGCCAAAGCAGTACGACAGCAATTTATGAATGTATTATTTTTCATGACCAGTTGGCATAAGTAGCGATACATTTGATCACAGGAATCTTCTTTTCGTTTCTGCACCGGGGTACTTTGTATCACACGTTACACCTTAGGTGGCAGTCAGGGAATGAAACGCATCTGAGAGTACGTCCATCGAGCTGATGGAACGATCGTATCAGCTCGTGTGCGGGTACTAGTCGATTATCACATCAAGGTGTCATGAGAGAGATGGCAGCGATGTGGGGAAGCCTTCATGAAGCAGTGAATTGACCAGTTCCGTTGAATCTTACCTTTGCAACAAAGCAGTCGGCTATGGCCACAGGATCGAATGCACAGCTCTCCAGCTCATGAAGAAGCTCGCTGAAGATGCAAAAAAGAACACACATGGACATGATCAAACACACAGTATAATAATGTGCTTGTGAAAAAATACATTTGCAATAACAGTTGCATTTGAAATACTTTTTTTTGAGAATTCCATGTACAATTTACGCGCACAATTTTTTTTGCCAATATAGCTCTCCGGTGTGACCTCTGGTTGTACCGCGCGATGGTCGGCATGACCTTCGACGTTTCACGCCACGTACTTCTTCAAATCTGGAGAAAATCGTGCCGAAAAACGCTGGACGTGGAGCAACCAGCTGTACGGCGCAACGGTGAAAAATCTGCTCGGCCGTTTAATGTACACTTGATTCAATGTGCATGTTGTTATTATCTTTCGATTTAAAGCTTTCGTGACCGCAAGGATTAATCTTCTTGGTTCTTTCGGTGAAGTAACGTAGAATGAGAATAAAACAATAAAACAAAAATAAGACAATACAATTCTCACGACGTTTCGGCCACAACACAAGTAGCCTTCTTCAGGTGAAGAGACAGGTCTGTACGGAAGACAGAGCCTTCGAGCTCTGAAGAAGGCTACTTGTGCTGTGGCCGAAACATCGTGAGAATTTTATTGTCTTATATTTTTAAAATTGTTTTATTCTCATTCTACGTGACTTTACCGAAAGAACCAAGAAGGTTGTTATTATCCTTTACATTTGAATAAAGTGACCTTCTAACATTAAAATAACTCGCTTTTTCCTCCCCTTTCACAAATTCTTAGGCGTTTTCCCACAGCTCGCAATGGCCCGTGCCCCTTGCGGGTCACATTTAGGCCTTGCGGCTATTGCAGCTCACATGCGAGGCGCTTGTCTGCATGCAAGAGGGGAGAAAGAATGGACTGTCTCTGTGACGTCACGTGACACTTAAAGCAATGCGCAGCTGCCACAAACCCATGTAGGCATGAACAAGTCCAAGTACAAATTTGAAGTTATGATTGTGGAGGGAGGATACTTGTGTCTATAATCAGGTATTTTTGCATGTACAGTCCTTTTGTCAGTCCACTGCTGGATGAGGGCCGTCGATATGCTGTGAGGGTCATGGGGGATATTCGACATACTTGGCCACCCCAATTCAGTATTTAATAGTTGTAATATGATATTTGGCTTAAAATTGTATTCTGTAATGGATGTTGTTTATTTTATATGAGTCATTGTTTAATGTGGGAGAGTCCATAGTTTTTGACAAAATGGATTTTACAATCAGGCACAAATGCTAAGTTTGGAAAGTGCCGATGAAGAACTCACGTTTTGACACTGAAGTGATTATTGAACATGAGAGTGGAGAATGCGCTAACAGACAGCTGACAACTCAGTGGCACCAACACCCATAATAAAGAGGCAATAACTTTTCGTCAACATTACTCGGTTATTTTGTCACCCACCATAACAAGGAAGATGCAAGTACATGACATGAAAAAGTTATATCCCTTGTTACTTATTACTTATGACCAGCAGCAAGTGGAAATGCTTTGCCTTCCCAGTAAAAAATAATTTTCTTAAGGTTTTCCCCCAACAATTAATCAAACCTGTAATTGATGAGAACACTTCATTATAACAGAATAAGTGCAGGACGGGCAATACCATGAGCTTCAAGCGACACGGAATTATGCGAAAAACACCACAAGGCCTCTATGCATAAAATGAGAAAAAAATGTGACCTACTGACAGGTCAGTCGGTTACTGACAGGGCAGTTGGTAACTCAGTGGGTCACATTTTATGAAATGCATATCGATGGTGACTTTAGACAAGAAGATCACAAGGCACATCTTATGGTCCTCAGGAAATGCTGATGGTTTTTGTATAATGCACAGAAGCTGTGTGCCTATAAAACATCTCCATGTTGTTTGAAGCGTATGATATAATTCGTTCAATCATTTTGATTTTCTTTTAAAATCAACTCTTAGCATAAAAGCATGTTATTTGAAGTTTGTTTTCTCCTCACTCCTGTTATCACCCAAGAAAATAAAGGCACTCATGCAAGGCCTTTTTCTCCACCCCCTGCTGAACGAATCCGTAAAGGCCATTGAACTGTACACAGCTCTTATTCAAGGGCGACTCTCTGCCAGCAGACAACAGCAACGTCAAAGTGGAGAGACTACACTGAGGGCCTCCCCATGCAGTGTCGGTCATGGGGGTTGTTTTTACCATGCTTCACCAAAGGCATGGTGCTCTCTGTGAAGGTGTGCTATTCCGGTGATTAACTACTGTGAACGTTAATTCAGATGTATGATTACACTCCAAAGCTGCTGTTCGTTAACGTAAAAACATGATCTAATTCATAACTACACCTCCAGGGAAATTTTAAATTATGGTACATCATATGATGCAATCCAGATATAAGTTAACACCGTGACATGTACTACATTTTACAGGCTGTTTTTTTGTTCGACTGCCAAAAAAAGAAAGAAAGATGTTGCTTAAAAGTTCATCTTCTTCCATATATCACGTCAGCCACAAACACAGATTAAAAAAAGAGAAGGCCATTTACACGAGCGCTATGCCTTTCCACCGAAGCGGTTTCTATTGCTGACTGGACTAGCTGAACTAGAGCCAAGAAGTGAAGTGTGGGTCCGAAATGTAAAATTTACTGTGTATAATTTTTCAAACAGCCATTCAGAGGTTATTCCATTGTAGAGGGCTTGCGTGCTGAAAAGCTTGCCAAAAATAATCGGTCTGCTCTAACCGTGCAACTATAGTGTTACAGTGAGCACTGATAGTTCGCAGCTGCTCTGGATGTCTCACTAAGGCGAGGGCTTTCGAAAAATATACATTCATTTGCGAAAATGAAATAATAAGTACGTTTCAACGTGTAGTGACATTCAAACATACTTTGACACCTTCGGTAAACACTCGACACAATGCTCGGCAGCTGAATGACTAAAAGCTGGATATTTCCAGTTGCCTTTTTTCATACGAGTCGCTGCTTTGCACACATTTCTACACTTCCTGGGTGAGACGAGTGGGGCCATTTGAACCCACGAGTTCTTGCCAAATTTTGGTTGATCACAACATCAAGATAAAGAAGGGCTAAACGGACGACAGTTGAACAAATGCCAAACAAACACAAAGGCAATAAAAACTAAGAATATGAATTACTGCAGTCACGAAAGCTTTAAATCAAAATTTAAACACAAAGGCGTCACAGTCTCATGAAACTCACTTTAAAAAACAAAGGAATTTTTTTTTTAAATAGAAAACTATAATGGTGTGATGAACATTTTTTTTTTACAGCCAATATATTATACTACTGCTTTTGCTATATGTAGATTCCCGCGGTTGTACAGAATAGCTCTGTGATGAATTTTCTGGTTGTACCGAGTGTTGTGCTAACCAATGTGTCGTGTTACAGTATTGCTCTAATTCTCTCATGACCATCAGAACTCTGGGCCAAGTTTGTTTAGTGGAGGTTGTATAAACTCACCCTCCAGGTAAATGGTACCTCAGGACCTCAAGGCTGCCCAAGCGGAGCCATACACCCACACAACCACACACTATCAGTTTGGATTGGGTACAAATGGGTCACAGTCCAACGCCTCACAGCTGTGCCTCACGCACCACCAGAGAGTAACGTACCACACTAATGGATGGGTTGGCCTGGCTTCATGCAACTGCTCTCAATGAACACACATACGCACCACTTTTATGTATGCATTGGCCACTCATATTCTACGCGATTGAATTTCACACTTAATTGCTTGGCAATGGTGTGTGTACGTGGAGGACTATACAATTAATCAATGTGTTCAAAATCTGGAAGAGCACTAACATTTAAATAAAAACAATAACTGGAAAAAAACTAAACCTCAGCTTATTGTTTATGCAATCATAATATTAACCTTGATAAACAAAAAGACAAAATGAAATTAACAATTTTTTTACTTGTATTAGTCATTTAAATATTTTACCTGGAGCAGCCCTTGAGAGAGAACATCTCTTTTGCAAGGGTGCCCCGGTGTCCCAACTTTAAGTGAGCCATAGATTAAATAAGGCAATAAAAAAGACGGTTTCTCTTTTAGAATTTGACTACAAAATCCGTGTCCTTCAATTTAACTACGTGACACTTTTATTATTCTGTACGAGCAATATGTCATCGTGGCCAAATATGTAGATGTAACCCATTAGCTTGTAAAGAAGACATGTAACAACGAATTCTTTATCTTTGGTCTAGAATACACAGACACGAAAATACAGGTTGCTTTTAAGTTATTAACAATAGACCGTGAAGGACATTGACATAAATAAAGCATGCTGTATTTTAGTATTTGTATGTTCGAAATAGAAAAGGTACAGTCCTTGTTATATCAACGTTGGAAGATATTTTGCTAGGCAAACACAATTTAAACAGGAGTATAGCAGAGAAGGCACTTACCCACTAACATCTGCTGACGAGGCTGACTCGGGGGATGAGACCCAGAATGGTGAAAAAACCCATCCAGACATTTGCGTGTTTAAAAACCATTCTGCTCGTAAACATAATTCTCCAAGGGCAACAGGACGATAAATTAAACGGTATTTAATTTTTTTTTTCAGTGCGGACGCAGAAGGGAAGGTGATTTATTAATTTATAGTAAAGTGATAGGTTAACTCCGCACAGATTCAAAGTGGGGACGCAGGAGCACGTCATGGCAGGAGTGTCGCCGTTCTCCAGTCCAGGAGTGCTGTCGCTTCTCGTTGCGAGAATAGGGATCTCAGAACAGATCAGATCAGAAAGGGTTTTATTCGCCATGAAAGTTCACACCGACACGGATGGTAAAGCATTCTCTCACCTGTTAAGAGCGTAGATGTCCTCTATGTTTCCAAAGAGCGTGCAAACCTCCTCAGGGCTCAGAGGCAGGTCTGGCGTGTCGATGATACAGCCAAGGTAATTCTATATATATATAAAAAAAAACAAATGTCATCAAACACATGCACGCAATTAGTTGTTTTCCCACATTGGCCAAAACGTTGCATTTTGTTGTGCCTTTTCAACTCGTGTACCAAAGTTACTTACAAAAAATTACATCACAGTTTTCTTATCGTATGGCGTTCGGCAATAGCAACAGACTACAATTGTATTAAACATTTTGAAGCCATTCCACATCATCCAGGGTAGCCGAGTGGAGTCCTGTTTGTTCCACCAGAATACGCGTGTGGCTTTGGGCAGCCATCAGTTATACGTGCTTGATGGTGTGCACTTCACCAAATTTGCACTTTGGAGAGACCTTGTTTTCTATATATACTGGTAATGTTTGTTTGTCTTATTTATAAACAAACATGGAATGCATAAAATGTCAAGACAAAGCTCTACTTCAACGAGAAGGAAACGTTATTGTTATGTAATGGGCATCGATCCACATCTCTACGTGAACTCATTGCGAATGCAGAACATTTTTTTAAATAAAAATTAAATTTTCTAAAAAAAAAGTTTGTCTTAAAAATACCATGCACAATTATCAACATTCTTGAAGCTCATTGGCACACACTAGGTTTGAGCTTCCATTATACTTGAAAATTTTGCTTGCAATTATTTGTATTCATCATTTTCACTTCCCCTTTAAAAAAATTCCCACGGCACACTTTTGAATACGTAGGTCCTATATGGCAAGTGTCCAGCCAAAATGAGCCATATCCTCCATAAAAGCAATATTCCCTACTGCCATCCACACAGGGTTTCCTGAGTTAGGGCGTAGCACTGGCCACACGGATACATACTTTTGTATGCCAAACGGGCCATGAATGGCTTGACCTTTGCATGGTGATGCAAAGGTCATATATACAGATTTAAGGACGCATATATGGTGATGGAAAATTGTTCATCTTGGTGATACTTATGGTAATGATAGATAGAGTAAATTAAGAATGATGATTTTGTTTTTGAAATATAACTTTGCAGGCTTTTTTATTTATTTATTAAGTTCTTATATATATTTTTTAGAAATTAATTTCATTTGCTTGTTATAATTACTATGTCTTCGAGATGGTAAATCATTCCTCTTTATATGTTTGTCTTTATGTTTCCAATCCGATTTTCCATTGATAATTTTAGGAAGAGTGCATCGACTGGCCTACCTCCATTAACTGATAACAGTATTTTTTCCTTTCTTCATGAAATCTCAATGAAGCTGCTCTATCCTTACATTCTGGGTTCTTTCGGTAAAGTCACGTAGAAGGGAAACAATAGAATCACATGACTTCTAAACATATAAGAAAGGAAATAAGCGGACAGAGCATGGTTGAGTGATGATGTTGATTAAGTTAACAAGGAAGATACGTAACAGTTCAACAAAGAATTCTGTTCTTGTGTAAGGAAATATGTTTAGGAGTGGAATGTCAATGTCGAGGTATGCTAGCCAGGAGAGAGTTTGTGTAGTTTTGCGTTCCCTCCGTTGAAAGTGCACAGACTACAGTAGCTTATGGTCCAAATGTTAAGGGGATCATGCATATTTATAGGAACAATACCATTATTATAGTTGTGACAATGTTAAGGAACGTACTTTAAAACGGTCTGCCTATTTCTAGTTAGTCTCTGGGCGAAAAGACAAACTCGCAGGGAATGTAATAATGACCAGAACGATGTTTAGTCTATCAGATCTAGGAGTAAATACAAATTTGGTGTAAGCATACAAGAAATGTCGGTAATTCAAATACTGGATTTTTCTTTGGGCTATAAGTCTACATGGAACTTAGCTTAAGGGCAGGTTATAGTTTGCCAATATTTACTTCATGAGCTACAGTATTTATTACATTTTACCATGATGGATGTTCTCTTCATCAACACTGAACTTGTCCAATTATTTCCACATGAAATACATTCTGGAAAGATAAATATGCAAACGTGCTGAGAAATTCCATTCTAATATTTCCTTACAATTCACCGGGATTGACAAAAAAAATGCATTATGAACTGATACAATGTCAATGCGTCTTATGTTTTGGAGTAACAGTCAAATTACACCTAATTAACACGTACTGTTGTGTTTACCATAACTAGCGAAGAACTTTTGATTTAAAGCTTTCGTGACTGCAGTAATTCATATTCTTAGCTCTTTCGGTAAAGTCACGTTGAAGGGAAAGAGCTAAGCATATAGCGGAGAACTATGAAATAAATAAATTTAGCGAAAATAAACAGAATGGACATGAAGTAGTGCCTCACGTAAGTTTAACTTTTTTTAACACGAATGCATTCCAGGTACAAATTCGCAAATTGAGAAAATCTGGAAAGAAAATATTTTGTGCTTCATTGCAACAAACAGCGCCACGGGCTACCGATAGCAATTTGCCACAATTACGCAACACAAAATGTTCTCCTCCGGTATCAGCCAGGTGTTCTAGTCCTGGTAGGGTGCATTTTTTTGATCACCTGCTGTAACTGCGTTCCAGTGGTTCAGGAAACGGCGGCGGTACCGGGTGTTTTTGGCAATTTCCCCCGGCATGGACAGAGATACTGGCAGCTGTTACTGGCAGCCGTCCCTTACCATAGACGCCTTGCATTCAGAGTGCGTAATTTCACTCACATGCGAAACAACGTACACAGGGGAATCTAACCCACTGAGATGGATACAAAGCTGGGGGTGTAGTCGGGGTGAAATCCAGGTGTTACTTTTTTTTCCTCTCTCTTGTTGCCTGTTAAAATCAAACTTTCATCAAAGTATTCGACAGCCTGGCCATTTGCCATAAATCAGGATTGCATTACCTAAATATAGGTGAGGCAGCTGGTGATATTAAAAATAAACCTTCTTGCAAGTTAACATCCTACCAGAACAGTTATTTTCATGCATCTTAAAATAACCCAAACTGCTATTAAACACTAATCACGTAAAAAAAATTACCGACAGTTTATTTATGTTGAGGGTCAAAATTAATGGGAAAAAACGAGAACACGGGGTCGCTATTTGAGTGTGTAAAATGATCAAGCAGCTTCGTAGCTGAAACTTAAAAATGTACGACAAAGTCAGCAACTATATTGCATCAAGTCTACACCTCACACTTTGCAGTGATGCGTAATGAAAAATAGAATTCTTGTGCATGGAAATCAGCAGTATTTTCATAACTAAAAGTAACCCCAAATAATTTCCAAAGTTACATCTGATGCTCTTGGTATGCTCTTAGCATCAGATGTAAATGTCACTTATTGATGTAGTTGTTGTAGGGCAATAACCTATGCAATCCATATGCACAGGAATTCTTGTTGTAAAAATGCCGCACAAAACAAATGTCCACATTCCAGATGTTATAGGGCTCCACATATGAAGTGTTGCATTTATTGCCATTGGGGCCTCACATACATAGTGAAATGTCCCGGGATATTTATGGGAATTCCCAAGGCTCTAATTTTCCAAGCTATTTTCCTGACACCGTTGACATGAGAATGCCTTCCACAAACACCAGGATATCAGTAACTGGGTCTTCTGATGGGAAATGTATGTGAATGCTGTTATTTCACAGGCAACATTGACTTAACTGTCAACTCCAAGGCTTTGCATTCCATATATAATTTACATATGTTCTTGTATTCTTAAAAAAAAATCAATAATAGTTTTTCAGCTACGTATCTCAAAACACTCACATTTATAACACGTTACCAATTTATGTAACGTTTTTTGTGGTAAAAAAGTCCTACATTGTAAGCATTGAGTTAGATTGTTTTACTTCGGTAATGGTTAGCAGGCATTCCTCACCTTGCCATCCCGGTTATTTTTTTTAATACAAGGAACTACAATGGATAGCACTCAGCTCCTTTCATGCCCAGAAGTAAAAGTGGAAGATATCAAGCAAGCTTGCTGGTATCTGCTAAGAAACATAAGTTCAGTCTTTCAAAGAGTTCTGGTTCGTGGGGTCTGAGCACTGCCCTTTCCTCTTGCTGTGTCCGGAGTGGCGTGGGGTGGTTGCTTATCTGACTCTATTTCCGTACTTTATTACTCCCCATTATGCAGTGTTTGCTTTAGAGGTGGGATAGATTAATTCTGAAGATAAATGAACATTCCCAAAAGGCAGCTGTGGTTTGCGGCTTTAAAAAAATCAACACCAAAGGGGCACCTCATCTATTACTGCCAGCAACAAATTGAATGTTTTAGTTTTTCTTGTGGGCTACCATTGCTACACTTGAAATGCACTTACAGGTTGTCCCCATTATTGCCCATTAAGGAATCTGAACTCAGTCAATCTATTCCCATTGCGTTTTGAATACAGCAATAATGCTTACTCCATGTTTAAACCTCAGTGGGATTTGTTACCTCAGTGGGCTTTGTCTGGTAAGATGGGGATGGTGTAGTTGTTTAGGTGATTTGTTTAGCTTCTTTTACTTTGCACTCCAATCATGTGTTTGTATTGTTTGTTGTTCTTTACGTTCTTACCCGCCCGACTGAACATCTGTGAAAAAAAGGCGCTATTGCTCTTCGGATTCCTCAAGTATAAATATTCTCATTTTGATAAACGCATCGCGTCGCACATAACCAACGTCTTGCAGACACATCGCACAAAAAGGATCCTGGGAAAATGAATCTCATTTACGTGTTGACCTATAACCCAAAACATCCACGTGCTCACCGTAATCTAATTTTGCCGACCACTCATCGCAAAGACAGCTTTGCTCTATCAACGGTCATCCGCTCAAAGAAACATATCCATAGCTAATCTGACGATGTGGGAAGCGTGTCAAAGCATATATATGATCGATGACACCAAATATCCATTACGCACGATATGTAAACAAAAACGCATTGTATAAAGCGCATATGTACGATCGTGAACAAAATGCAATGGAAGGAGATGAAGAAGAAGAAGAAGCGACGCGCAATTTGTCACACGATGAGAGAAAACGTGAAAAGCATCCACATGTGTTGGACGTTAAGAGGTTGGAGGCCTCGTAAGCAGTCATGCAACGGTGGCGCCGCCGCCGCCGCCGCCGCCATCGCCGTGCGGGTGTGATGAGTGACAAGAGATTACAGCTAGGAGAGCCGCGGCAGCTCTGTGGAGGAAGATCTTCCCGAGCCACAGCTCATGTCCGATGTCTGGAGATAAGGGCGAGCACGCGCGCGCGCGCGCCGCCGCCGCCGCCGCCTCTTTGGCCAGGCGTGAGATAATCAGATAAAACGTCCGCAGCAGCCGCCGCACGGCGATTGACAGCGGTTCCTGCTCACCCGAGCAAAGGCCCCACAGACACCAGTGGACCCAAAAACCCACCTCAACGGCAGACACTGGCAACGCAGATCCTTACCTTCCCGACGCTTCATGAGACCGGTGGGGAATACTAAACCATTTCTCAACATGTGGGTATTTATTGGTTGCATGTTATTATTTTATTGTTTTAAAAGTAATTGTTTTTTTTTAATGTAAAGCTTGTTTCCAAAGCACACCAGATCAGTTCATGTGTAAGAGCGAGATGTATGGTGGCAGGGCTGGAACGTGTGGGATGGTGATGGCATGGGGAGGCTTTTATTCAGCAGTGGAAAGACGAGCATGGCTAATGATGATGTCTAGGCATTTACGAAGAGTAACTGTGATTATAGTGAATTATTAAAATATTAGGATATGTGATAAAAGCAAGCAGCCCGAATAAAATAATGGTATCATAGGCGACATTTCGTGGGTGCGTCTTTCTGGGTTGCGCTCGTGAAATTGTGCCTGGCAGAAAAGAGCAGCTCAAAGAGAAAGCCAATGCGTGATGCACAATATTAACATGCGAATCTCATTTATAAAGTTACAAAAACACTTAATTAAGTACACGTTATAACTTTATACTCACATACCAGTGGCGATATGTCAAATAATTATTCATCCAAATACATTTCTTCACAAAAGCAAAGTGTTGACATGCCAAATATTTTTTACCCATAAGAACATTTTGGAACATTGCGTTCCAATTTTTTGCTCATATTATTAGATTGTTCAAAGTGAATCATACATATAGGGTCGTGCCTGTAGCACTTCAATATTGAGTAAACGCCTCCCACTTGTACAGTACATGCTATCTTAAGAAAAATATACAAGATATCATCTGACGGATCATAACGTTTTTGTTAATGGGATTTTGCCAAAAAAAATACATTATTAAACATACAACTAGTGTTCCCAAAACAATTTACTCTCCAGACTTAAAAAAAACATAGTTATCAAACCAAACTATCAGCAAGCTTTGCTGCCACCAAAATCACAGTCTCCCGCGCACAGAACCCCAGACGCACTGGGACCGCACATTTCACGCATCGCTATCATCACTTCCGGAGAATTTCCCAATTCAGCTTGTCCAGATGTGAGGACATAGCACGAGTTTGGAGAAGGAACATTGATTGTTATTAAAAAAAGGCTGTCTCTTCCACAAAGACATCAGCATCAACTGATGCCGTAAAACACTTAAATCATCTCTGTCCTGCAGTACTCATTCTACAAATGTGCGCAAATAAACAGATGTGTGTGTTTACTTATCTAAGCTTGTCCTGCTTGTGATGATTTCATATAGTCACATTTCTCACAATGTAAGCCCTTCCCTGGTCTTCGTTATCTGCGGTAAGCATGTTTAGTTACATAGGTGGGTCCACTTATAGTAAACAAGGCATGCTTGCCAATAACCGTATTATTTTGCACACTCTATGTTTCGTGAAGTGTGTAAATATAACCTTTAAACAGCTTGAAAAGTGGCCTTAAGAAAAGTGGGCTTAGGGGTAAGACACGTCACGAGAGATGGTGGCAGCTTGAGGAGGCCTTCGTGAAGCAGTGGATCTACATTGGCAGACGTCAGTGATGATAACAATTAATTTTTACGATGACTACTCCTCAAAGTGAAGGCGATTGAGATCTGCAAAAAATTGGCTGGCGACGGGAAAAGCTAATGAGCATTACAAAATGACTTTATAAAACGTAAATTTTCCTCTGTAAAAGGGCATGCTATGCTTCGCAAAAAGATGACGTCCTAAAGTCAAGCATGTTTCAGTCACTTTTCAGCTGCACGATGCTTTAAGCATCTAACATGTCCTCGATGTGTCAAGAACACTTGTCTAGCCATAACAGTGTTTATTCTCCGACGAGTCACTCCACATCAGCGCTTGTGCTCCCACGGATTGGATGTGAAACTCTACTTTAGTGTCCCCATGGAATCTGCACACAAGTTATTTCCCGAAGCCTATGGGCCTGAATGCCGATAGCACGGTGATGTCACATGCAGCAACTCTGACAAGTTACGGTCTCAGCCATAAATCGCGCGGCTGTCCAACGCGGAGCGCATATCAGCCAAGTTCGTTGCTGCTGCTTTGCGTCAAAGTAGTCACTCGAAGTACGCTCAAACAATTGGGGCGGCTCATCCGACTGCATCGTCACCCACACGCAAGTGTTGTATTACTCCGTAGTAGTTGGATGTAAAGTTTAGTATTGCCATTGGCGCGACATCAAACAAGATGCCATCTCGCCCGAAGTTTACCGATGCCATTGTGCCCAATGAAAGAGCTTTCAAGCTTTGATAAAAAAAAAGCTGACTATGGTTGCATGAGGTCGAGCTGTAAAGAACCTCCGAAAAGGGGTTTACACTGCATGTGCTGATAGTCAGAGAGACAACAGAGAGACTGGGGGTGAGGTCAGTGAGGTCAGTGAGCTCATTGCACATGCCATCATGAGCTGCTAACCACACGCTAAAAAACATGGCTGTAAAGTGTGTACTAAGAGTTAAATTAGGTATAAGCGGTTGGTTTCAAATAAACCCAACGTGCGAAGGGAACTACTGCGGTAGATACATATATTTTTTCCCAATCACACATTCATTTTAGACATTGCTTCGTTGTAATAAAGAATGGGACAGTTTACTACGGCAGAGTTTACTGAGACACCCTTGGAGCACTTTTTTTTCTCAACTTCTTTCGACCTCCTCCGTACGTGGAAAGAGATTACTGATCTTAAACAGTTCCATATGGGTGATCCAGTGACAGAGATACGAAAGCACCTTCACGCACCCCATATTGTCGAGGACGTCTTGCTTGTGGGTGCCGTTTTCCTGTTAGCGTGCGCTCCAAGTTGGATGTGAACTATGAATAGTCTGCATTTTGGCAGTTATTGCGCGGGGGTTTTTTCGGGGCCACAGGAATCTAATTCTGTAAAGTGACCTTGCTTAGCAGAGGCGGAAGCCTTAGGGAATACAGATGCTTAATATAGAAGCAGCATTAACTTCTATGTGCATAAGGCCTTGTCAGACGTGCAAGGCTCAAATTGTGATACAGCATACCTACCTAATGCATATAACATATATTGCAATTGTCAACAGTCATGCTAAGCATTTGTATTTTTCAATCCCCAAAACTTGCATTATATGCAGCATTGGGGAAAAAAAACTCATCATATTGATCATAAAAAAGTAGAGAAGCTCTGAAGGAAGGTCACTGGCGAAAACGTTTACCACCTCTTGTATTTTTTTCTGTTTATGCCAGTTTAATTTATGGTGACAAAGGGTGGCTTAGTGACGCAGTAGAGAGTTTTATAAGTGCACTGCACTATGAACCTGGCAACCCATACGGACTGATCTCCATGACTGCGATGGTGTGGGAGGTCTTCATCTAGCAATTGATTTACAAAAGGCTGTTCTTTAAGTATTATATTATGAATGAACGATGACCGACTACAGGAAATGTACTGCCAATAAACAGTGTTTGGTCATGATAACAAAGGACTTTATCTGGTAACTGACCACAATCAAGCATCTTGTCTACATAAATTGATACCCACATTTTAAAAATGTAAAAGTCCAAATCGGAACAAAATGAACCACTGTGGAATTACCCATTCAATAAAGATATATAGCATGCAAGCCTCTATGATGTTTCGAGGACGGTACAGATAAAACACGTTGTTGTATACAGCTCGCTGGAAGTAATTAACGCCCATTAATTTTAGTTGTGCATTAACTATAAATATCATATAACTTTAGCAATGTTGTATTATTCAAATATTTGCTGTGTGTCAGACAAGTATCCATAACTGAAATGCCTCCCCTCCCAACTAGTCCTAGAGAGGTTTTCCTGCAAGTTTTTCTGTTATGGGCTCAATTGTTTATGTCACGCCAGCATATATGGTTTACTTAATGGTTAGCCATCACACTGACCATATTGATGTCTACATGGCATTTCCCAGAAATCACCATACATGTCAATAGATTAGATTATCAACGTTCAAAGAAACAACACATCAAACCAATTAAATAATCGCAAGTAAATTCAATACTGTATGTGAATGAATCTGGCTCTCGCCTGATGAAGCTAGTTGTAATTACTGGCGAAACGTCGTACTCAGATTGTAAATGTTGTGGCGTTGCTCTCCAACACACCGGTGTGCTGTAGTAGAAACGAATTGGCTTGTTCTGTTTACGTGACAAACCTTACCAAGTGGCTGTGTCGAGTGGTGATTTGTTTAACGACACGTATTTATGCGATCTAACCCAGAAAAACCTGTATTATGGGTGAATGAATCTATATTTGTCGCAATATTCCAATCATAATTAACCCCACCATTTTTCTCGGGAGGCTCAACTGTGACACATGGTGAGTTGGAAGCCTCTCCGCCCCCCTCACTGTCAGCCTCGCCCAGCTTCACACAGCCAAACAAAAACAATAGCCCCCCTCACCCCCGTCGAGCCTGAACAGACCTGTTGCGGCAAGTGCTGTTTGCGAGTTACCTATGAAGAGGTTCGCACGGCACACGAGGGAGTGGGTGGCCAGCACCACACCCGGCCGCCTTTGTCTTCCCAGTGGCAATGTTTACACGCCGTACCAGGTATTCATTTGAGGCCCAGGACCGGTTCAGATAATCGTCACTGGTTGTTGGCCGTGAGCGGGAAATCGAACTCGGATCGGCCGGGCTCGGAGCGCAGCGCGCTAACCACTACACTATCGCTCCCCGCGTAGCCGCACCTATGCAATGACACATCCCTTCCACACAGTGAGTGGTCTCTCCCACTCTTCCTTGGCCCTGCCCTACTGCTCATAAGCCCTTCCCACACCTTTGTCAACCAAAAGCTTCGGGATATTGAGACAGCCTTTCGAAAACTGGGACTTATCCTTGCCAAACTGGGATGTTTGGTAACCTCAATAGTAACACATTCATTCAATTAGATTGTGTGGGTTAGTCTGTGAAATGTTTATTATAAATAAATAATATGACAGGGCTCTGGAGGAAGCCACATCTATTTGGTCACAGTCTCAAGGTTGTTAAACTGCTTTAATGACACCTTTACATTCTGGCATGCCATGCAGAGGTTGGTCAATGTAAGGAGATCTGAACGAGTACAATTTAGACACGTGGCTTGTGTTTGCGCAATTGAATGCAGTTTTTGCTGGGGATGTTTTGACTGAGGTTGCTGAAGAAATGCAAACGATGTGTGACCTTTATTGAAGGCATTCCTTCCAAGGCTTCCAAAGAAAAAAATCCTATATAATCCAAACAACAGCATCACCCAGACGCAATATTGGTATTAACTTGGTATTTCTGCTATGTTGTATGGCCTGGCGAAAATCCTGTGAGCCAGTGGATTTTCATTTGTGAAATAATACCTTTTTATATTTTATTAAAAATCGTTTTATCGTGGATTTCATTTTTCACAAAATGTATTTTTACATGAATGATATATGGATTCTTTTAAATAATACATTCCTCCAAAATGTGTAAAGAAATGTCAGCAAAGATTACGTAAATATATTTGGGAAAGGGGAAAGTTGTTTGACAAGGCCATGGTCAAAGTCATTTTTGAATTGGGGAAAGTGTCCTTTGTGTGAAATCACTTCAGGCAGGAAACCTGAGCACAGTGTGCCGCCTAGGACACCAGAGGTATACAATAGTCTTTGTCAAGCGATAAAGCAGATTATGAAATGCATGGCTGCAAGCCTCAAGGAACAGGAAGAGCAATGTCATCCCTGTGCCCATTGAGTGCTCAAGAGTAACATTCGTTTTTCAACAGCCATACTTGATCTACCGAAGCTTGTTGCCAAATTGGAGTATTGGCTCAGCTACATCTGAATGCTCTCATGCCTTAACTTCAGTTTACTTCGCAAGGTTATACTAATATACACTGACATAAATTCTCAAATAGGTGTTCATGTGTCAAAAAAGTTGCTGCAATTATTATATTTTTCTTCATGATCTAATTTTGTCCCTTGCTCATTCTAATAACACGATAGGCAACTAGATTTTACCAGCAATTAATCAGGTACTGTTATGCAACATTATAGTCACAATGATAGTGTTTTAATTTTCCCGTTTCTTCTTGCGATATAAGTAGGAAGCAATGTTACAACCTTTGCCAGAGAATGTCCCCAGAAGATGATGTCACAGAACTACATCTGTAGTCCATTAAACTAACCTATTTATGCATACTCAGGAGACACATTTTTACATACTGTGCAAAGGTTGTTCATCAAATGTCAATAAATCCAACATTTATTTTTCTAAGAGATAGAATATCCTGAATTAAGTGACATTACATTTAATACCCAGGGGATTTTTTGTACAATTTTTTATTCCTGATTTGAGACCATCGACTTGTTATACTTTAATCACTGCTAGCTGCTAGATTCGAACCCAGAATTTGTGTAGTGCTGCCCGACACAGTATTGGCTCTCTTAGTTACCTGGCCACTGCTATCTTTGACTTTTTTCAGCCTTGTATAAAATATCGAATGAATAAATAGGCCGTTGCCATTAGTTTATTTCGGGATATGTTGTGGCTATGGGGTTTGCGACCCAGCCTGCAATGCAGATAACTCTGTAGGAGAGTACATATTAAGCACTTATGGGTCATCTCTTCCAAGGGGTGAGAGATGAGTTCATTGGTCAAGGGTTGTCATGGTGATTTATTGGCTGAAGTTCGTGATGAGAAAACGTGTCATCATCCGTATCCTGCTGGAATAATTTCTGCCAAGACAAAATGCCCTGGGCACCAAAAGTCATTTTCACTGACTCCGGACCAATTCTTCAAATCTGAATGCAACACACACCTGTTACCAATTTATACATTGTGCACATTGAGCAGCCAAATAATCATCTCTATGGACACATTTAGCAAAATCCATGTCACCTTTGAACTAGTTAGGGTTTAAAAAAATACTTTAATATATGCGAATACCTGTGCTTTTAAAGGACAAATCTCGCGATTGGTAGGTATAAGATGTAAACACTACTCAAATTAATATTCGAACACCTGCCGCACACATCGGTTGAGATGAAGCTACCTAGAATATCCAGGATGTATGACAGTACACCTCTCAGTGTCATCTATTGCTAAAACAGCCTCATATCTTACTAAAAGTTGGATAACAAAGCGTTATCGATGCTATGCAGATCAACTGCCCGAAACATAATGGCCATGGCTATAATGTATCACACTTTTTTTTTAAATGTCAAAAGCGCATGCCCTAGAAATGGAAATCCAAAACAATTCTCTTTAAAGCTAAAAGACAGCAGCACACAAAGCTCAAGGTCACGCCGAGCCTGTTTTGAGGGGCGGGGGGAGGCGTAATCAGAAACCGCTTGCGCACACGCACACAGTGCGCATTCCGTGACCAGAGCGCGGAGTGATGGGAGAAACCTCCACTATTGCCGTAATGTTTCCACATCTTCTCACACTCTGTGATGACAGCTGTTTTTTCAAGAAGGCTAGGAATTAATATCACAAAGCACACCTGCATTTGATGGGTTATCAGTTTAGTTTTTTTTATCTCAAAAATATATGTTGGAAGAGTTTCATACTGGACAGCAGAAAGCTTGGTAAAAACATTCAAAAAAAATATTTTATGCATTCAAGTAAAAAAAATGTCCAGGAACTATAACGTTCATAAGATGTTATGATCATGTTGATCTTTTTGGTCTTTTAAATGACAGTATTATTTTTCTAACATTTATACATTGTATGATAAAGGCCCATGATTTTCAGAAAATATTTTCTCATTATATTAAGACTAAGCATTTTTAAATATATATACATATATATGAGAACTTCAGTTTATAAATATTTAAGTAAAATTTAAAACATTTAAGTAAAATATTTTAGCTTCGTAATAGAAATTCCATCAATCTCCTGGAAATATAATTTTTCAAAGCAAGCCCAAAGCTTCATATTGTGGCAAGACAGAATTCAGTCAGTAATGGCTGAAATATGCCACTTCTCAGCATGACCCCTAATCCTTCAGTGCCCTCTGCCTCAAACTGCTCTCGTGTAAATCATTCCATTCCGAGCAAGATCACAATGGAGCCAGCTGGGAGCTTTAGTGTGCAATAGTCTGTGTGCACACATATGTCTCAAACCTCCCGTCTCCAATCTGACCTCGTCCTCACCTTTACTATAAAGCTCTTAATCCAGAGTGTGCTCCATTGAGCTGTTAGATCCCAGTGACTGGCACAACAAAAAAGGGCCGTCTGCACCGCTAGTTAATTTGACAGCGTACTTAGTGAGATATGACCACCTAATAAAATATGTTATGGAAACAAAGAGATAGCCTTACTGTTTAGATGGACACTAGAGGAAGAGTGTTTCACTGAAGCTAAATGTTTGATAAAAAGAAATGGAAAGCAATGTTCTTAGCAATTTATACACTTGACAAATATATTTTGTATTGTGAATTACGATGTCAATTTCCTTGGGAGAGTTTTTCTGATTTTTTTAAACAATACATTTAAGGAAGAAAATAAACTTTCCCAATTTTGATAAATTGGTTTTAAATATGAGAATTTAACCCCCTTACCTCTACAATGCTCCTGAGGTCCTTCACGTACATCTGCTCCGTCTGTAAAACCTCCAGCACGACGCGGTCCACATACGACAGCTTCGGGTCAGAGACCATCGCGTCGGTCGCAACTGGGGACTCGCTCGATTCTGAGCAGATGGTCGCAAAGTCCTTCTGCCGCCGAGAATTGCTCCTGCTCAAGTTAACATTCCACTTATCTGCATGCTCATCAACCCCACCACTGGGTTGTCGATTCTGCTCAGAGGCATCGGAGTTTGGAGAAACCTGATCCAGCTTGACCGTGTCACTGTCCTTGTCGCTGCACGAACACCCAGAGTCGACGTTCTGCGAAGCGGACAAAGAGGATGCCAGCGTCACGCTGCTCCCAAACATGGATCGGCTGTCTCGGGACGATGATGACGATGAAGATGTCGTGGAGCCCGTGTCGGCATTCTGGGAGGTGGAGAGAGAAGAGGCCAGAGTCATGTTGCTTCCGAACGAGCAGTGGCTGTCACGCGATGACGACGACGACGATGTGGTGGAGCTCAGACTGACGGGCCGCTCGCACTCGGATGAATCCATCATGTCAGGCGGAAGCCCCAAGCACAGCTTGTAAGCAAGGCTGGCTGTCGACGTTGGCGTAGCTCAGCACTTGTCATGGGCAAGTTTTCCTACGGGAAAAAAAAACCGAGGCACAATATTATTTATTTATAATACACTGTATTTTATGGCACATACAGCATGAAATATATCCTGTAGAAATGGTTATCAACTTCGTTATTTTACAGTCATATGTAATTATTTTAGGTCAAGCTTCCCAAATTCCATTTCATATGGCTCCCACCCACCCCACAGTCTGCCTTTCCAACTGTCTCCAGTCTTCATCCAAATGCAAATGTAGTTATTACATTTAGAGTATTTGGCTACTATACATTTCCAAATGACAATCCACTTCGTTGAGCTATCATTTGTGGCCAGGCCGCCTCTGAAAAAGAGCTCTTTAGCTCAGTGAGCCTTACCTGGTAAATTAAAAATAGTAAATAAACTGAATTACACATTTGAAGAACCTGATGATTGCTACAGATGGAATTTGCACTGTGTTGGGGAACAGATTTGTTTTACAAACTCTGACTTAATGTAAAAAATAAACATAAAGTGTAATTTTTACGTATTTTTTCAGTATATACAAGAAAATAACATTTCAATATATTCCAAATGACCATCAGAGGGCCTTACAAACTTATCTATACCTTGTCTTCACCTTCCCCAGGTGGCATCAATGCAGCAGCAACATCACAATGACCGTCTTTGTGCCTATTCTGAAAACAAAACAAGAAAACAACAAAGATTTAGTTAAAAGTTACAAGAAGTTGAACATGAATATCGAAGTGTTCATATATATTTAAAAAAATCAATACAACTCTTCACATATTGCTTATACTTGCATATTCAACATGACACAGAATCTTAAACCTAAAAAAAAAACATTCTTTATTACTGGATTAAACTATTTGGCAATATAAGCAGGATTTTCAGTCATGTTATGTTTACAGTGTCTGACATGAGAAAAAGAATAAAATAATTATATAAACAATCCTTAGAAAAAGATAAAGAGGTCCCAACATAACAATGCTGTATGCATCAGTGTTTAGCGATGGTAATGCAAACAAGAGTTATGGATTTTCTGTGAAATATCGCACAAGTGCTGAAACCGTGCCAGTACACTTCGCGTTCAATACGCAAACCGAGAAACCTTGGCTCGTATCGCTCCCACTCTAGCGCTTTAGATTCATAAAACACAAGGGCACACTGACACCTGACTACATGTCCTCTTCGCATACATTTGTACAATGTTTGTCATTAATTTGTTTATTAATTCATTTTCAAACCCAATTAGAATGTTTTACTTTATATAATCGCACCAACCACTTACAGCAACTTTATTACCATCTGTATTACATTGTCGAAATTAATGAGCATTTCAAAACCTTTACAACGTTCGTACAATATCCGGCCACTTTTTTGTCACCCAATTAGCAAAGCCAAACTACGTACTAGGGAACAACTCTATGTCTACATTGCAGGTCTGCTCCGACAGAAGGCCACACATTTAAGGGAATACAAGGCAGGCATATACACTCTATTCAACAATGCCCATCGAAATTTTCCAGATAAGAACAATCCACATCAGTATAGGTTACAGATATCGCTGCATCACAAGGCAATTTCTTTACAGTGGCATGAGTAATTTGTTGCTCATGCCACTGTTGTTGGAAGGGCCTCCACAATCGTGCCTATCACCAATGTTAATTATTTTATGGAAATATAAGGTAATATTAGTACTTAATATTATTTGAAACGAGCTACTACATACGGCAAACAGTTTGACTCTGTCACTACATGGCAACTATTAAAGCATATTTCTATAAATTGCTTTCTTACGAAAATGTTGTATTACATATAAGCAATCATATCCACTCCTAATTATATTCAGATACAGTAATTAAATGGAAACTTCAGTTTAATTACCCCCTCAAAATTGTTCTAATTATATGACCGTATATTATTGACGATTTATTGAAACGTCTGCATAATCAACGTGCTTTCATTTTCTTTTAGTTTTTTTCGGTAAAGTCACGTAGGTTAAAAAAATAAAATGAAAATAAATGAAAACAACTCAATTAAAAAAGGCACAACTGATGAAGGAAGCTTGTGTTGCCTAAGAAACGTCGTGATTTAATTTAGTTGTTTTCATGTATTTTAATTTTATTTTTTTTCCTACGTGACTTTACCGAAAAATCCAAAGAGTATGAATCCTTGCAGTCACGAAAGCTTCAAATCTAGAAGTACTTTCATTTGGTTAATTTTGTCTCTGAAATCTGTTCATTGGGATATTTGCTTTTCGTCATGCGACTGTGCGTGCTTAAAAGCCAGCCCGTGAAGCGAAATGTATGCACCATGCAACTCGCAAAAAACATTCGAAGCAGTTTATTTTAAAACCCGTTAAAATGTCTCCTGTGCTTGCCATGTCGGCATTTTCTGTCAAACGGAAACACGCTCACTGAAAAAGGGAGGAATGTGCAGTGAGTCTGAAAAAAGAGGATATATTTTCTTTTTGGTATGGAAGCAGCAGCAGCAAAAGTGCTAGTGTGAAATTTATATTAGGATACAATGTTCACACTTTAATACTGCATCATAGGTGAGAAGGTATAGTGTGCAGCGCAAGCAATTACTCCTTAACATCACTGTCGGAGGAAGGGGCTCTGAGAGGGAGCCCCAGAGCCAAATCTAGAGGGTGTTTTTTGCCCGCTCTTCAATACTGGCCTGTCATCTTGGAGGAGGAGGTAGGCGTACCCACACTTTACCCCACCACCTGCCGATTGGCACAATTATTTATTTCACCGCTCTATATATTAAATACGTTAATTAGTACATTGGCACTGAAACATACTTTATAGACCTCGACCTCACAATGGTTAGGAAAAACAAAGTTTCCGTTCTCAGGTTTGGCCAAAGTCAGCGAAAGACGCAATGCCACATGCCCTAATCGGATAGCTTCATTGGAGTTCCCACACCCAATGGTAAAATTATTGAGAACCGTTTCTGATAACGACGCCTGATTCAACTTAGACCAGGTAAAATGTCAACAATGAACCGTGGCAATTCATTCATACATCACTTTTACAATAAAATCACTTTTGAAAAGAGAAAACGTGTTCAACAGTACTGTATTACAAACATCAAATTAAACCAGTTAAAGGCATCTTACGTGACAAGCCAGAAAAGAAATAAATTTCTAAAGAATTATACATTTATAAAAAAAATGAATAAAGTACAACGAAAGGCATTTGGCTGTTTTCATCAAATCCTGTAATTATTTCCAGTTTTTAGAAAGATTTTGTTCGTTTTAAGTTTCAAATCTGATAACGTCATATGTTTGTGGGAAAAAAAGCCACGTTCACGAGAGGTTCAAAAACATTTCTGCGTTGTTTTTTTATCTGGCAGACGGACAAGCGTAAAACAATTCAGTCCATCCGTGCTACTTTTTTTCTTTCCAAAAAAGTAACAAATTCCACGAACCAAATCCCCTTGTCGCATAATAAACACTGTTTTCTACAAGACACTGGCAGCTGTGGTCATCACAAACTATACCTATGGTCCCTTCACTAAAAGCCCCTAACATGCAATGCCCTCTTATCACAGATACTGTACATAATGTCCGCACATGTCAGTGATGCGTTCACACCACCAAATAACGTGGGGACTCTGCTCACAATAAATGACCAAATGCCACTTGGAAACACTGTTCATAAAACTGGAGTCTATGCTAAAACCCTATGGCTGAACAGGAATCAAAGTCTCAACGTAACAATTCTTCAGTGTGCCTCAAACCAGAGGACTTATTGGTGAGGCACATTACTTCACCTCTCAACTCTCCTCTGTTACTGATACTTGCCAGGACATTGTATCCACAGTGTGCAGAATGCTGTAGCTGAGAAGCTTTAGCCCCATTGTCGACAAGCCATTTAGAATAAGAAGAATAAGAAACCGTTTACATTCCTAGGGACTAAGATTCATGACTGAAAACATCCACATTGTCTAATATTGTTTTGTAAATATAACATTAAAATACCGTATATTAAGTTGATGTTACTTTACCCGAATCCGAACAAGAATGTTGAGACGTATTCGAAATTACTATATTGCCACAGAATCACAGAAATTGTGCAAAGATGTAAGTATTGACTTTGTTTAGAACCAGGCATTAACATACACTGCATACAAACGTTAACCAAATGCTCTTAAGTTTAAAGAAAGGTAATACAATCCACAGTTACCCAAGTAAAAAACAAAAAAAAATCCAATGAAAACATTAAAGAGAAGGGAAATGCTTATTTTATCAGGTTATACAGGCATTCAATTATTTTGTTATGGTCTTAAAATAAAGAATCGTAATGAAAATTTGGAAATGATCAATTGTGCCGTTACAGGAACCTAATGCTCGTCAGACGTATACATGAACAAAAATAAACAATTTGACAATTTACAACAAAGTGTCCAACACATGACTTAGGCAGCATTTATCACGCAGCTAAAAAAAATCTTCCCATGAACGTGAATAGAATTGCTAAGGAATGGATGGACTATGGTCA